GTACAGTACAGAATGTATAAAACATAATATTTCGATTGGAAATAGCATTTTATTAAACATTGTAAATAATTTGGTGTCACAAGATTAATAATTTTGCAGATGGAATGTCCATATTAACTAAACCGATTCAAAGTGAAAATCGTCTCGATCAAAAGCGAATTTCTTTTTTGCGGACGATTTTATTTTTTAAAAATTAAAATGTTTATTCAAAATATAGACCAATAATTGAAATAGAATTTAAGATTGTATACAATAGTATTGCAGCATCGTTGATATTAATTTATACCTTTTATTGTGTAGTTTTTAATTAACTAATATGTAATAACACGTTGGCATTTCCGTCCTTGGGATGAAAGGAGGAGGAAAAAATTGTTACAATTAAAAGCCTGATGTACGTGCCTCTGATGATTTTGCATCTCATTTTGCAATATTTTTGATTTATTGTGAGCGTTATACGAGATATTATACAAATGACGCGTCAATCATTGTAATGAGTTAAGCGGGTATTCCATTCCATTATACAATAGCAATAGAAACAATTTGTAACACAACATTCCATAATCGGCGGCAATAGTTTATTTGTGCCACATTTTTTTTAATATTTTTTTTTTATCAATATCATTGTTCACATGCATATAGCAATACCAGGAGAGTGCGGAAGCTTCATACAAGTATCTCGCAACGCATAGAATTCATACATTTGCACACAGACAAAATAACTACTGTATTTAAACCGCGCGCTTGTGTATGTGCGTTGTAGATGCTTAAATGAAGCTTCCGCCCTCTCGTTCACTATGGAAATACTTTCAGACTATTTAAAATTTTACAGATGTTTTATTGATATTTTTAAAATGTTTATACTACTGAATTAAAATTCATTTCGGTTTAAGTAAGCATGTCCTATGTTTTAATGTCTGAAAGTGGTATCTTTTAGATACAGTAGCCTCATAAATATTTATTAAGAGTAAATTCAAGGAATCGTTCAAAGCAATAGTTAACATAGTATGTATTATTATTTATGTCCGTTTGAGTTTCTTTGAATGTTTTATTCCTGAATCAATCTTGCAATTTTATCATGATATTTATATTTTCAACATAACGCTACAAGCAATTTTACCCCATGAATTGTATGTTATTAAAGCGTAAATTCGTGTGACGTTAGTCTTAAATGTACTTAGAGTATGAAGTGTCAAATATTTTACGATTATAAATATGTATTGTACCGAGACTGTTTAAATATGTGTTCTCTCTTTTTTTTTTGGGTACTGTAAAGAAAGAGACGAATTCAAGGTCTCGTGGAACCGGTCACATTGACTACTTTTGTACGCGTTGGTTTGTCTGTGCGTGGATGATTTGCGGTTAGGTTTCCATTTTGAATCGCATTAACAAAACATTCGTAAATTATCGGCAGGTAACTTAATAGTATCATTAGCCTAACTAGCTAGCTAGTCTAGCTAGTTATTTGTAGTTGAATAGTTGTTAGAAAACCAGCCATTCATAAGTTAGTTTGAGAAATTGGTCTATCGCCAAACAAAAACTGTATGATATGAATGAAAAGAAGAGAAGAAGGAAAGGAGAATGAGAAAGAAAGCGAACGAAGTTAGTTTCACATTTAGTGCGAACTATGTTGCGCCTTTAACTTGTTGTTTTTTAGCCAACTTAACTACTTACTTATAATATACTGGCAGACTTTTTTCATCAGGACAAAAACGATTTCGAAATATCGAAATTTAACTAATATGCAAACTACTTTACGTGTGGCAATTAATAATGAATCCATGAGTTCTTTGACTTTGAAGCAGGCCGCTCAAAAAGTTTACTTCAAATTAATATTTATTGGTACATCAATTTCATAATATGACAATAAAAAATACAAAAAAAGAAAACGTTTGAAAATATTCCATATATCCTGTTTATTCTAGACGGTTAAAAAATTACCTTTATGTTATTTAAGAGCGGACTATGTAAGAGTGACATGAACGTTCAATAGCCAATAGCTGGAGTAGTCAGTCGCAAATCATCCGTGCAATGACAAAAAGTGAAGATGTGAGGTAATAATAATAACGGGAAAGCGAAAAATTTGGCAAAATCTCTCCACTGAATGACCTTAGTTTTTCTGGAGAGAATAGTTTGGTTAATATTGTGGCTTCCTTGGTTGCAGTGGCGTAGCAAGGGGCCCAAACTACCATGCCCCATAAAACTCAGTTTAGGCCTTAACTTTTTAAATGATGTGATATCTCAAAGAATCTGCCAAACATTTGGTATTGCAAACACTAGGTAATCTGCGAACACGCACTTAGCCAACAATTACAATGACCTGATACATTTTATTGTATTTTTAGTTTTTAAATAATATACAAAGATCGTAGAAGACTTTTACCAATTCTATGTTTGAGGAATTATCGAAAATGAGAAAAGAAATCCATGCTACGCCATTGCTTGGACGTGTAATTTTTGAACGAACATGGCACTGTATTGATACGAACGGACGTCATGATTGTGAAATTATGTATTATGTAAAAATGTGAAAATATGTATAAAGCCGGAATATTTCGATTCTTAGTTAGCTTTTGCGTTCTCATGTTTAGTTTTAATTTTGATATCTGTTCTTGTTTTCTTGTTTTCCCATTATTAAGTTGCTTTTATGTTTGCTCGTTTATTGGAATTAAAAAGGTGCATTGTTTTTAATTTAGCTAAGTGTTTGATGTACTTGACTTTCATAATGACTTAAGAAAGATTATTGGCGGTTTAAAACTTAGATCAACAAATAAAGAAAGACGGAGCGTTGCGTACATTTCAAGTGACGCAAAAACCAAGCCAAAACCATGCTCAACATGCACTCACGTATACCTATGTATTTAAAATAATTTGCAGCCAACATCACGGTTTTAGATGCTTAAGTGTGCGTCCAGTTGTGAATTTTTACGGGCTGATTAAAAACTAAAGGAGAAAGATGTGTGCGTGAGCGCGTGTCAAGAAGCATGGTGTGAGCATGGTTTCGGCATCACTTGAAATGTATGCAGCGCCTATCTTTCTTTGTTGGTGTGTGGTTAATAATATACGATTTTGCTTCTAACCGTTGATAATCGCTTACATAAATTAAGTATTAATTATCTCTATACCTGTCCCTTTCTTTGTCATTTAGTGAAAAGAGAGAGACTAATTACTGTAAGCATTTTTGAAATTGAGGACGTGGTGACACACTTGAAATTTTGAACATGCTCATTTAAAATAACGTGGTATATTATTTCACCTCAATAATTAATTTTCTATTCATCCAAAAGTTGCCTAAAAGAGATCGCTTTTAGCGATAAAGACGCCATTTTTCGATTGATTTTTCGACGCATTTTTGTCCTAGCGATGAAAACTGTTACTATCTTAATTTTTACATGAACTATAGTATGCAAGTTTATTGTTCTCATAACGATTTCAAGACTTATTATATTTTATTGTTTATGTCGCATATCATTATTACTTTCCATTGATTAAGTGTTGATAATTAGAGGTTGCTTTTGCTAAATATTTATTATGCTTATTTTGTTTTAAAACACAACATAATCTTTTCGTCATTTGTGAGTGATTAATCGAAATATTCCAGTTTGCTAAGAATTAACTTAAGGACCTTTTGAAACGGGTTGTGGGGATATGGGGATTATTGATTCGGTATATATTATATGATTTCATATATCATTGCCTAATAACTCGTATTGAAGAGCTTGTTACATTATATAGATTAAGAGGGAGTGTGACCAAAATGTACTGTTACCTTTAAATTCTTATCTCGGACAATCTCAGTCGTTGGTCGATGCATCGCATTTTCATGTTCCCACAAAACATTGAATTAGTTTGTAAATTATAATTGAATCTACCTCAACCAAATTACCCATTAACGTTGTTTGTAAGTGTTCTCTTGAGTCTTATTATTATTACTAATAAATTACTGAATTGTAGTGTTTTTATAATAAAAATTATTATAAGTTCCAACTTCCCATTTTGATACGGTAATTATTGTTACCAATCGTATTGAATGCGGGCGGGTTGTTGCGGCGGCGATGACAAGATTAGAGAACGAAATTAAATTTGAGAATAAATTTAACGTTTACGATGTTTTATTTATAATTCCCTTTCTCTTTCCGTAATTAAAATAGTAAATAAATATAATAACAGCCAGAAAGCTATATAGAGGGTATGTCCGGAGTTTCTCTGTGTGGTAGAGTACGTAATTAAGATGTACGCAGTAGAAACAGAAGAGCCAGAATATCGGTTAGAGATAGCGCAACGGATCAGTAAAATGAAGTGGCAATGGCTGGCCATATAGCTCAAAGGATATACAACCGATGGGGAAGCAAGTGACAGTAAACCCGGTAAGCGAATTATGGGGTGGCTCCCACTAAAAAGAGTGACGAGCTGGTAAGAAACCAGGAATCTCAAGATCGTTCTTTGTGCCATGCCTTTGGAGCGGCCTATGTTCAGCAGTGGACTCGTGAAGGGCTGCCATGTGACGGCTTTAGCCTTGTCTATTTCTAGTTGAATTGGTTACCTAGTTGCAACCCGTGTTGCAAAAAGGTACACCCTTTTTTATGGAGATATGCTTACGCATACAAGTCGCGGCACGTAAGTCTAGCGCTGAACGAAACGTGGAGGGGACGCGCACGAATTGAATTGCACGAATGCGACTAAAGAGCCAATCAGCGCGTGCGAACGATACCCACGAGCCACTCTGCGCGATTTATGCGCAATAACGATCGCCGCTAGACTTTCGTGCCGCTACTTATACCCGCCTTGCAGGGAGGACGAGCTATGCCGGACTCGCACTGACTAAAACCACATGGTATTCTAACTTCTCCACGGCCACGGCATTATTTTGGGCCGACTAATTGTCTACCGAACGTAACAAGTAAACTCGGTATTCTTGTCTTAATAAATTATGACATTGTTGGAAACTGATATTATAGTGTATAGTACGTAAAAAAAAACAACAGTTAAATACTAAATATTATTTACTGCTTATTTCTTAATTGGACAAGTAGACTCTGCCGACATAAACGTGACACAGCTCCTTCGTCCTTGCGGCGCAACTTGGCGGCGAGGCGAGCAAGGCTGAATCGCGAGCGCGGACGATCTCGACGCGATCCTAGAACAAACAAAATTAGAAGCTTATTTATAAATATATTGTTTTCTGTGAAGTTAGTGTTGAGGCGAGGGAAGCAAATCAAGAGATGGGCGGCAGCGTCTTCCTTTTAACAACTAAACATAAAAATAAACTACGGTTGCCAAGCGTGGCAAATATGGCAAATATCCCCTATATGAGGCGATCTATTGGGGAGGCCTATGTTCAGCAGTGGACTTTAATAATCTGTAACGGTTACCGTAGTGTCGACAAAAGGGTCGATTTTGTTTTTAAAAACCTCCACAGTGATTGGAAGCCAGGAAGAGCTTTGAATATTCCTGAAAACATCTGCTCATTTGTGTACGAAGCACACAGTTTATTTAGATAGGCTTCCACTTTGTATATAGACCATACTGTAAGAGAACGAGTCTTTTTGGGGGTATTATACCTTAGTTTTTTTTTATAGGATAGGGTGACAAACGAGCCCACAGTCCACCTGATGGTAACTGGTTGCTGCGGCCCATAGACATCTACATCTACCTTCGTTTGCGAATCAAAATGCAGATGCGTTGTCACCCGTGAGGGCTAAGCTGGATTGCCTCTTTTCCAGTAAAAAGGGTCTCCGGTTCTCTACACTCACCATACGAAACACAGCAGTGTTAAGCTGCTATTTTATGACCCATTCGTGCTACAGCTATACTACTAATATAGCTGCAGCATGGCTCTACCACGTATAATGTACGTTGCCACGCTTGACTGGCATGCAAGTTGGCAATCGGAGTTTTAAGTAATTTTGCTATTATCAGAAAGATGCAGCTGCCCATATCTTGGTTTGTTTCCCAGTGTCGCCTCTTACGACGGGACAATATGGGGTTGTGTAATTTCTTACACCGCCACTACATAATGTCAGTAAGAGAATTAAGAAAACGTAATATTACAATTATACCGCAAGACATACCTGCTAAACCTGCTATTATGGTTTTGTAATTGTTGCTATGGTATAAAACATAAAGCAATAATTTAAACACGTTCGCAATCATATATGATATGCAAAAAAAATCATAGTGTATTTTAACGAAAGATTCTATTAATTTCTATATGACATTTATACCAAAGAATGGTCTGCTGCGCCACCCAAGAGGCCAAAGCTGCTAGGAGGTATTTTGCAGCACCAGCCCATATATGGCAATAACACTCTATGTACGACCGGACCGGACTTGCGTTTTATTCAGTGTTATTTTTCAAAGAGTAGCCAAATTTTTAGCTCAAGTTGAAATATATAAATGATATATCTTTATTGCAGTTTCGGAAACAACGAGTAAAGAAGGCTCCTACTTTTATTTGAAATTATCCTAAATTGAATGTGATTTATGGGCAACAACGTTATTGCCTACCGATCGACCCTTACGAATGTGTGCGTGCGCAGTAAAAATAATGCATTACCACGCAGTTTGAATTTAAAAGATAAAAAGGACAGAATATCTGAGAGTTATTCTAAATAATTTTTGTTCACCAATTGCCCAAAAGCCCAAATTACTTATTCTGAACCTTCTCTACAAATTTGGCCGGTTATTGCAAAATAACCCTGTATAAAGTATGTAGCTGTTACGGCGTGATGTACCGCCGCAACAAGGACTGTAATTTCTTTGACATGCAAGTTTCCTTAAGATATTTTCTCCGCCGACTAAGCGGTCCTTTCATCTCGCCCTGATTTAGGTGAGGATCGAACTCGGTTTACTCGCGTTCTATGGAGTTTTGAGGCAAGCGATCCCCAGAGCTACTATACATCCGAATCATGTTTTCACCTATCATATCGTAAATTCCATGCTCAGTGATACGCAATACCTATAGCTTATCTCTATACCTTCGGCTACTCTTTGCCAAGCTTCTCTGTCCACATTGACCATGCCAGTAGATATGCTTCGCCCCAAGCTCTGTTCCTGCGTGCTCGATCTCTGTGTCTCTGTCACATCACTCTCACAGCTGATGCTACTGTTTCTGGAAAAGTACAAACTCAGATATTTATTTAAAATTATATCTATATGTTAATTATGGATAAAATACTTTCATATTACGGCTTAGCAATAATTTAAAAAAAATGTGCAAAGAGCAAACCAAGTCAAAAGCAGTACGAAGAAAGGTTCTCGAGAGGCAGCCTCGTATCGGTAGACGAAGTGTAGGACCTCCCCTACTAGATGGACTGATGACCTGGTAACCGTTACCGTTACCGTTACAGCCTATTAAAGCCCACTGCTGAACATAGGCCTCCCCCATAGATTGCCTCATAGGGGGGATATTTGCCATAGTTGCCACGTTTGGTAAGCGGGTTGGCAACCGCAATTTTTTTATTTTTAGTAGTTATTCGGAGGACGCTGCTGCCCATCTCCTGATTTGTTTCCCTCTGTCGCCTTTTACGACACCCACGGGATGATATGGGGTAGTGGATATTCTTACACCGCCACTACACGGTAAGACATGCAGGAACTATCTGGTAAGACATGCAGGATGTCGATGGATGCAGGTGTCTCAGGACAGTGCTTTGTGGCATTCCTTGGGGGAGGCCTATGTTCAGCAGTGGACTTGTGAAGGGCTGTAATTATGATGATGATGATGATGATGAAATCACGATTTAGATATCGGCACAGCGAGCATAAGGTCTAGATTTTTTTTGTGTAGTACCGGAATATGAATAGCTCTTTCCATCGCTCGCTGAATTAATGAGATGAAATTCATAATTGCGGCAAACAAATGCGTTGAAAATTGTAATTTGTTAATTGGAAGTAGACTTTAGAAATAAGTTGGGGGGTGACTCGAACTTTAGGCCTAGTCAATTTGAATAGCCTATCATGAAGAAGATGTCATGGGGGTCATGGTTGAATAGGGGTAAAAAGTTCTCATTACACATTTAGGGGGTCAAAATGGCCAAAGACCCAAAAATAAGTAATTTTTTTTTATTTCGGCTATAACTCCGTCTCCTTCGGAGGTTTTTACACAGTCTTTACTTCCCGCATCGCTCTTGTTAAATTACTATCTTATTTTATATTCATATTCACAGTTATTATTCTTTATTGGTTAGTAGCTGTTTACTGCAGGTTATTTAAAGAATCGCATTGATAATAGAACTGTAATGTTATAATTATTCTGTATGTTATAATTATTTAATAAATATAAATTAAGTCGTCATAGATATGGAGGCAATTTTCATCCATCGAAAATCAATAAAAAAATATTAGTTTCTGGTGTTAAATTTTACTAGCATAACATTATACGAACCTGTCGCCTGGTCTCAAATCATTAGCTGAACTCGTACCTTCCTTCCTCATCGACGGAGGGGATGCGAGGAATTTTTCCCTCGCAGCTCGAATCTTTGCTGCACGCTCTGAGAGACTTGTTGCCACGTTACTGCTTTCTGTTAAGAAATTCTCAGTTTCCATAGTCGAGAATGATCTCTCATAAAACCCAGTGTTATCAGTTAAAAACCGGGATAAGCTTGGCACTATCGTATCTGACAGCTGCCTTAATACGGGATGTGGTTCCGGATCCGCTTGGCTCCGATCTGGTAAATTAGATGACACACTTTGAACTACTGTATCGGTGCTTGTTGTGTTACATTTTATTGTCTCTTGGCTATCTTCTTTATTCTCTTGTTGCGGCGTGGATTTATTCTCTTTTTCTGGCAGCAATGCATTCGCGCTGTGTGATTTGAGTACTCCGTCTAAACTCTGTGTGGTTGGCGTCAGACGTTTTTCGACGGAAGCTTGATCTCGCCTCGATAGCTGGCAAGCACTCGCCGATTTCTGGACTTCTCTTTCAAGGAACGGGTTATTTCTGAAAAATTATGTAGAGGACCGTGTAGTGGCGATGTAAGGATATTCACTACCCAATAACGTCACAGAGGGATGTGTGAGGGAGATGTGACAGAGGGAAAATAAAACAGAAGTGCAGTGGTATCTTCCTGAAGTCAACTCAAAATGCGGTTGCCGGTGAGGTAACTACGGCAAATATCCCTTCTATGAGTGCGATTTATGTGTGGGTGGGATATGATAGGCCTATGTCCAGCAGTGGATTTTTAAGAAGCTGAAATTGTAATGGTAATTATGTACCTACCTTATTTTTACAAAATGCAATATTTTTTAATAGAATAAGGGTAACAAACGGGCACACAGTCCACCTGATGGTAAGTGGTTGCTGTAATCCATAGACATCTACATTTATCCTAAATAAAGAATCAAAATGCAGATGCGTTGTCACCCGTGAGGACTAAGATGGAATGCCTCTTTTCCAGTAAAAAGGGTCTCCGGTTCTCTAAACTCACCATACGAAACACAGCAGTGTCAAGCTGCCATTTTACGCTGGTATTCTGTGAGAGCGGCTTCCCCGGTCGAGCCTACCCATTCGTGCTACAGCTATACTACTAATATAGCTGCAGCACGGCTCTATCACGTACAAAAATAGAGACATATGAAAGTACATACGGTACTTATAACAAAAACACAATTTTTTAAATGTTTGTGTGTCTGTCTGTTTGTTCTGGCTAATCTTCGAAACGGCTGGACCGATTAAGATGTTATAAGGAGTAATTTAGGCTACTTATGTTTTAGAAAAATAATGGATTCCTACTTAGGGTACATAATTGAAACCCTAAATTACACGCGAGCGAGGTCGCGGGGAACAGCTAGTCTCTAATAAAAATAAAAATTGCTAGATATATAATTGAGGACCTTTAGTATTGAGATAGAAAAGTCACGACACTTTAATTTCGTCGAGACGTGGTAGCTAAGGGGCTACGCGCGGTAAATGAGAAAATCGTGAGGAAACCTGCATGTCTGAGAAATAAAAAAAATCGAAGAAGCGGATTTCACCGCTAGCAAGTATTGGGACAGCGCGGCACACGTTTCCTTCTCTAAGGAACGTATTAATAAACGTTACTCAACGACGAACTTAAGTGCGCAATCATTTGATACGCCCTCACTACGATGTCAGCATTTCAAGATCGTTGCTAATTAATATATACAAATAAATAAGTGTCTGTTTGTAATGTCAAAATAACCGTTTTTTACTAAATGCATATGAAAGTATATATGGTAATTATAACAAAACACAATTGTTAAAAGTTTTTGTCTATTTGTCTGTCTGTCTGTTTGTTCCGGCTAATCTCTGAAACGGCTGGACCGAATTTGACGGGACTTTCACTGGCAGTTAATGTTATAAGGAGTAGCTTAGGCTACTTTTATTTTAGAAAAATATTTAGGATTCCGCGTAAAAAAAATTAAAATCAAAGTATACGCGAGCGAAGTCGCGGGGTACAGCTAGTAAACACATAAAAACAGTATCTGAAAACGCTGTACTTAGGAATATTTTTCTGTGATTTGCACGCAAGTACACACACTTGAGAGTCGAGTTTCGTTTATTAATCAGTGTGGCACTCAACCTCAATATTGTACTCAAGTGCGTGTACTTGAGCTGAGTAACGTTTACTAATACGGGTCTTAAACCCTCTCAGAAATGAGAGCCTGTGTACAGAGACATATTATATTTTTCTGCCGACTTCCAAAAAGGAGACGGTAGTCAATTCGACTGTATGTTTTTTTTATGTGTGTCACCTCATAACTTTCTACTGGGTGAACCGATTTCGATGATTCTTTTTTTGTTTGAAAGCTGGTACTTCTCGTGTGGTCCCATATAAATTTGATCAAGGTCAGACCAATAGTTTTTGAGTTATTCTTAATAACTCATATTGAAGTCGGCTGTGCAAAATTTTAAATATCAAATTAATATATACTTAGCCTGAACGGTCGCCCTTTCATGATAATAATCTGAACGTTTTTACTGTACCTTATATTAATGCCAAGAGGCATATCCGGAGGTCGCCGCCTCTCAGCAGTTGGAGAACGCCAGGGTGGAGAGGAGGCACCACTGCTGCCGCCTGACACGGGACCTGAATGAATTTTATTTTTATAATTTTCTTTCTTTTTAATAAATTGACAATTCTATTTTGTAATTTTATGTAATACTAGCTATTCCCCGCGACTTCACCCGCGTGTAATTTAGGTTTTTAATTTTTTATGCGGAACCCTAATTATTTTTCTAAAACAAAAGTAGCCTAAGTTACTCCCTATAAATCAGCTGTTTGCTAGTAAAAGTCTCATCAAACTCAGTCCAGTCGTTTCGGAGATTAGCCGGAACAAACAGACAGACAGACAGACGGACAGACAGACAGACAAAAATTTAAAAATTGGGTTTTTGTTACAAGTACCATATATACTTTTTTATGCATTTAGTGAAAAGCTGTTATTTTGAGGTTACAAACAGACACTCCAATTTTATTTATTTGTATAGATACGAGTAAGTACACAAAATCGAACAATTCATCACGTTTGGCACTATGAGGAAGCTTTAGGTCTAGGTCTACGCTCGGAGTATCTCTGCGTTATAGACTTTAAAATTAAGATAAAAGAACCAGAGTAACCGACACAGCTTAACGGATTAGTAAGCTGAAGTAGCAATGGACCGGCCATATAGCTCGAGGAACTGATAACCGATGGGGGAAATAAGGTTCTCGAGTGGCAGTCTCGTACCGGCTAGCAAAATAAAGGGTGGCCCTACACTAGATAGAATGACGACCTGGAGAGAGATGCAGGAAGTCAATGGATACAGGTGCGTTCCGTGGGGGTGACCTATGTTCAGCACTCGTGAAGGACTGTAATGATGGCGATGCTGATACTGAGCCGTGATAGATTACAGGTTAAGTTCCAATGGCGCAGCATGAGTTTTTTTTATAGGATAGCGTGACAAACGAGCACACAGTCCACCTGATGGTAAGTGGTTGCTGTGACCCATAGACATCTACATTTATCCTAAATAAAGAATCAAAATGCAGATGCGTTGCCAGCCGTGAGGGCTAAGATGGAATGCCTCTTTTCCAGTAAAAAGGGTCTCTGGTTCTCTACACTCACCAAATGTAACACAGCAGCATCAAGCTGCTATTTTACGCTGGTATTCTGTGAAAGCGTGGTGCTTCCCCGGTCGAGCCGATTCATTCGTGTTACAACCGTATTATTGATATAGCTGGAGCATGGCTCTACCACGTATAAAAGTTGTTGCCGCCCGGGGCTCCTAAAGCTAAAACTGCCACCCCTTACTACTTATTTTCGTAAGTAAAAAATGTAAAATTTGTTCTTTCCAGAGAATTTATCTCTATTTCCAGAACTTTCAATACTTAGATTACTTATTAAAATTTTAAAGTATTCAGTGAAAGGTATTTTATAAGATATTTTTAGATTTTTACTGGCATTATCAAAGTTAATGGATGGCTGATTTTTCTTTCCCGAAATGCCATCCTCTCCAGTTTATGTTCAGGGATTTGATCTCCGCCGCCAACAAATATAATTATCAATTGCAATTTTAAGTGCTGTTTTACCACGTGATCGGCGATGAAGTAACACATGGTCAAGGGTTGATCAGATATGCAACTGAAAACTACAATAATTTTTGGACATGTAAAACACCAACACGCCCTGTAGGAGTGCGGCGGAATAAATGCTCCATGGAAACTCTCGAGCCCTCTTAGAATTAAGAGAAGGTCTTACGTGGTAGAGCCACGATGCAGCTATATTATGGCTATGTACGAATGGTTCGGCTCGACCGGGGAACCACGGAAATACTCTCACGGAATACATATGTCTATATGTCTAAAATAGCAGCTAAAAGCTGCTATGTTACATAAGGTAAGTTTAGAGAACCGGAGATCCTTTTTAGTGCAAACGAGGCATTCTGTCGTAGTCCTTTGGGGTAACAACGCATCTACATATTGATTCTTAATTGAGTATAAATGTAGATGTTTATAGACCACAGTGTCCACGTATCGTCGGGTGGACTGTGTGCTCGTTTATTACCCAGATTCTATAAAAAAAAATCCGTATACAGCAGTTGGGTGTATTAGGGTTGATATTGCATTAATTACTTTTAGATAAATAACAAGTTGTAACACCGTATTCCACCTTCTTACGGCTTAAATTTTTCAAAACCCTTTCTTAGTGGGCGTCTACGTCGAAAAAGGAGTACATAATATGCCAAATTCAAGTCAATCGGGAATATAGTATTGGAGATCTCGTGATGAGTGAGTGAGTTAGTGGTATTTCTCTTATAGAAACAGAAATAGAAACTTTTTTATTCAATATAGATTATAAATAATATATTGAATTAAGAAGTCACTCTTTTGTTTAATTACCACTGACGAACCAGCAAGAAACCCAGCGGGTCTTTTTTTTAAATAACAGTTTACAGTCATGTATGTTACACAATTGACAACACAAAACAAATTAGAAATAGCTTGGTAGAGATCACCTCATTCCCAGGGGTTATATTAATATATAATATAATAATATTAAGGAATTTATGGAATATATTATATAGATATGTCTAATAATATATACCTCTTAGATATGATGCCTCTATGGTGGCATTACACCGGAGGCGTGGAGCAGAAGTGCGGTGGTCTTGTTCTTCAAGAAAGGTGACAACGCTCTCTTGAAGAACTACAGACCGATTTCCCTTCTGAGCCGCGTCTACGTGCTGTTTTCGAGAGTCATTACGAATCGTCTCGCGCGCAGACTTGACGACTTCCAGCCTCCCGAACAAGCCGGTTTCCGAAAGGGCTTTAGCACCATAGACCACATACATACCCTTCGGCAAATTGTACAGAAGTCCGAAGAGTACAATTTGCCACTATGTCTGGCGTATGTGGACTATGAGAAAGCCTTTGATTCCGTCGAAATTTGGGCGGTGCTGCAGTCCCTTCAGCGGTGCCAAGTTGACTGTCGGTATATCGAAGTGTTGAAGTGCTTGTACAGTAGGGCTACGATGGCTATCCGAGTACAGAACCAGAGTACGAAACCTATCCAATTGCAGAGAGGTGTAAGACAGGGTGACGTCATATCCCCGAAACTCTTCACCGCTGCATTGGAAGACGTTTTCAAGCTTCTGGACTGGAAAGGATACGGTATCAACATCAATGGCGAGTACATCACTCACCTTCGATTTGCCGACGATATAGTCCTTATGGCAGAATCGCTGGAGGACCTAAGCACTATGCTCAATGACCTCGACAGTGTTTCCCAACGGATAGGTCTTAAGATGAACATGGACAAAACAAAGATCATGTTCAATGTCCATGTCACACCTATGCCGGTAGTTGTTGGGAGCACTAAGCTCGAAGTTGTTGACGAGTATGTTTACCTGGGACAAATAGTCCGACTAGGTAAGTCCAACTTCGACCGAGAGGTCAATCGATGGATTCAACTCGGCTGGGCAGCGTTCGGGAAGCTACGACACATCTTCTCGTCAGACATACCTCAAAACCTGAAAACGAAATTGTACAACCAGTGTGTGTTGCCAGTGATGACTTATGGAACTGAGACGTGGTCCTTCACTGCTGGCCGTATGAGGAAGCTCAAGGTCGCTCAGCGAGCTATGGAGAGGGCTATGCTCGGAGTTTCTCTGCGTGATAAACTTAGGAATGAGGATATCCGCAGTAGAACCAGAGTAACCGACATAGCCCAACGGATTAGTAAGCTGAAGTGGCAGTGGGCCGGCCATATAGCTCGAAGAACCGACAACCGATGGGGAAGAAAGGTTCTCGAGTGGCAGCCTCGTACCGGTAGGCGAAGTGTAGGGCGTCCCCCCACGAGATGGAGTGACGACCTGGTAAGACATGCAGGAAGTCGATGGATGCAGGTGGCTCAGGACCGTGCTTTGTGGCATTCTTTGGGGGAGGCCTATGTTCAGCAGTGGACTTGTGAAGGGCTGTAATGATGAAATGATGAGATATGATGAGAGTCCTGTGCCTAGCAGTGGGACGTATACAGCATGTAACAAAAACCCTGTGGTACCCGTTAAGTGCGTTATAAGAGTCAGTATTCAAACGTAAAGAAATAACTTTTTTTCAAAAAACTTGAATATTAAAAAAATATTTTAATAAAAAAAAATAATTTGCGAATTGTATGTGGTTTTATTACCTCTGCATTATCCGGAGAATAAGAGGATTGTGGAAAAACCGTCCTTCACCGATGTTCGTGTCAGTGATAATAAAACCACATACCTACAATTTGCAAATTAATTCCTTTTTAACTAAAATTAAATTTTTTAATGTTCAGACCTATAAAACATCTTTGGTTCAAGTTTTTTGTAAAAAGTTATTTCTTTATGTTTGAATACTGACTCTGATAACGCACTTAACGGGAACCACAGGGTTTTTGTTACAGGTTGTATACTGTAACTTTACAATATCATTTGGAACCAACAGACGTTTATTAATCTTTACATCTTTACATATAAATAAAATTGAAGTTTCTTTAGTAATATCGAGATAATTGCCATATATTGAGCTGAGGGGGTTAGTTGCATGCAATTATGATATCAACCATTTTTAAAATTTTTGTCTGTCTCTCTGTCTGTCTGTTCGGGATTATCTTCTTAACTTGACTTAAAAAAGAAAAATTTGATAAAATTAAAGGCTTTTAAATCAAAAAAAGCGTTACGATATTAGATACTATACAGGCGAAGCCGGGGGAGGACGCTAGTTTTCGATATATGTGTTATGGTTGTGATTGAATGCGTAGTTTAAGAAAATTAAATTACCTTCTTCATTTATTTTCTTATTGTAACGTTGTATCATAATTCGAATGGACGGCGCCGCCTCTTTCTGGAGCGGCTTACGCTGCGATGACGGAGACGTGGGAAGTGGTGGTCTTGTTTTTGGTCTTTGGTCGATTCCTTCCTGAAGATCGCCGGAACTCTTAGACCGCATGTTGAGCTCTTTTTTGCGTTTTTCTGTTTCATATTTCTTCTTGAAATCATGAGTACGTGGACTCCTTTCCACGGATGGTCTTACTTCATCTAAGTCTTCTACGTCCACCGGTATAACGGCTCTCGCCACTGTTTCACCGCTTCGCACAACTGGCGAAAATATTTTTCTGGTTGTTTTGACTATCACCTCCGGTGACTTCTCTCTGTGTTCTGAAGCTTTGAGTTTGAGTACAAAGATCTGCGACACATTACTTGAATTAATAGAATTGAATGTATTCTATAGGCACCTACATAACTAACGATCTTGTACTGGTAAGCCCAGTGTTAGGCAACCTTCATCAGGTGGAGAGAATACTTGATGAGCCGGACAGATAAAGAACAGGGTAAGGTGGCACAAGATCGTGTTTAACGGTTATCGTTTTACGTGGTAGAGCCAAGCTTGAAATATGTTATGATTGTTTTTTTTTATAGAAATAGGACCTTAAGTGGTTACTGTGGCCCATAGACATCTACATCCATCTTCGTTTTCGAATCAACATGCAGATGCATTGTCAGCCTTGGGGACTAAGATGGAATGCCCCTTTTCCAGTAAAAAGGATCTCCGGTTCTCTACACTCACTATACAAAACACAGCAGTGTTAAGCTGCTATTTTACGTAGGTATTCTGTGAGAGCGTGGTCCTTCCCCGGTCGAGCCGATCCATTCGTGCTACAACAATATTATAAATATAGCTGCAGCTTGGCTCTACCATGTACAACTTTTTTTTATTTTTGTACTTGGTAGATTATGTTAATTGTAGCACGAATGCGTCGGATCGTCGGGGAAATGCCACGCTATCACAGAAAACCAGCGTAAAATAGCAGCTTAATGCTGCTGTGTTCCGTATAGTGAGTGTAGAGAACCGGAGACCCTTTTCACTGGAAACGAGGCCTTTCATCTCAGTCCTTCAGGGTGATAACGCATCTGCATTTTGATACTTGTTCGAGGATAAGTGTGGATGTTTATGGGTCACAGCATACACTGACCATCAGGTGGACTGTGCTCTCGTTTGTCACCCTTATTCTATTAAAAAATATATATAGATTCCTACAACCTTCGCTACACTATATCACCATAGAAGACCTACATCCAGCAGTAGCCCTTCACAGGTCCAGATGAGCTATATTAATGATAGCTGTGCCCGCGGCGTAGCTCGCGAATATAGGTTTTACTTAAAGAATTTGACGTTTAGGGTAAGAGAATATTAACCGATTTATATCATTACTCTATGAATAAGTGGTAACAAAATAAATCGATATTCTCAAAGTTCTAAGTCGTTTATGATAGAGCTTCTGTGTAAACGACGATAGAAGTAGACTTAGCCGGGGCGTACAGAAAAAGGTTACGGGGACTACTAACGCGAGAAAAAGCAATATAGAGCTGGCCATGTGCAAAATAATCAGTACTGACGCGTAAAGTTTGACCTTGCGCTTTATTTACGATCGTCGCATAACACACGCTGAGTGGGAAACACACTTAAAATAGGGATGTTAGATGATCATCGATGTTAAAAATTAAAACTTCGATGTTTTAACATCGATGTTGACATATGTCAAACATCGAAACATCGACGTCAATGAACCCATAATCGATAATTGGGAACTTGCAAACAATGCGAACTCGCGAAATCAATATCAACTAAATCTTGCATCTGCTCTGAAGATTAAAAATTTTGAATAATTCAGAATTTCTGAACGCATCGTTAATCTAAAAAAATGTCAGTATGGTGAGTCAAACTTAATTGTCAAGTGTCTCCTGTAATGTCACAATGGTCACTGCTTTCGCTTTATTTTGTAGTGTCGTTGTCGGTTGTCGCATAATAACTATTCTACGTAAATTGATATTCAAGTTAATTGTTACTTTTCCCTTGCTGTGTATATCCACATAATTTTAAAACAATGTGTAACTATCTACACATATACAAAAACCATCGATAATGGTCAACATCGATGTTTTGAGTGGCCTAAACATCGAACATCGATGTTGAGCTAGCGATGCCAACATCGATGTTATTATCCCTATCTTAAAACTGAAGCCTGAGCCGTGGTAGCTCAGATGGTTAGCGCTCGCTGTAAGCTTCACAGTACTCGAGCAACCCGGGTTCGATCCCCGCCGGCACCAATGAAATTGTCAATTGCAATTTTAAGTGCTGATTTACCACGTGCTCGGCGGTGAAGGAAAAAATCGTGAGGAAACCTGCATGTTTGAGAAATAAAAAATAATATTTCGATGACATGTGAAGTTCGCCAACACGTATTGGGGCAGCGCGGTGGACATTTCCTTGCCCTAAAACCCTCTCAGAAATGAGAGGAGGCATGTGCCCAGCAGTGGGACGTAAATAGGCTGCAACTTTACTTTACTTAAAACTGAAAAAAAAGTTATTTGGTATTAGAGTGATTCTGGCTATAAAACAATATCACCATCACGACATTTATTGCAATTTTGTTACTTTTAGTTTTAGTCGAGTTTTGTTGAATAATTAAGTTAAGTATTTCAATACCTCTGTATATATACCTTACAGGCTTGCAGCTTCGTCGGGCTCATGGACATAAATTATTACAGTGAGTCTCAATACGATTCACCTGCGAAAAATCTTAACACCGCAATTCAGAAAATGTTGTAATTTGTACAACGCCATCTATTACGTTCTTTGTGAGAAAACATCCTTTTTTAATTTAAGGAAAACATATTTTTACTGTGTTTTAAGTACTATAATAGAACGATACGAAATATATTATAATAGAACGTTTTTTTTACACACGAATCTTTTTATTACTATTTTTGGGATTTTGTGGCGCCATTAAACAAATTCGAACCTACATTTCAAAATAATAATCATGACTTTCGATAGAATTAACCAATTTCAATAAAACAAAGATTAAATGAACTTGATAATACGCTTTATGATTTTCTTAAGGATTTCATTGAAAAAAAAAAGATGTTTACTCAAAACGTCATGCGTCCATAAACAAACAGACAGACCGTCAGATAGTACAATTCTAAAAATTATAAAAATGTACTTATTTAATGATTTACAGTCCCAATAATGATTTTAGTCGCAAATTAATATACTATACAATATTCAGAAACAGACATAACATGTTATTACCATTTTTATTATATGTATAGATTTAAGAGAGATGGCGCTGTTAACATCAATTCTAAAAATAAGAGATTAATTCACACGATTGATACAATAAAAAACATAAAAGAACTTATAAATCAGTGCCTGCATAGTAAGCAAAAAAGAAAGTTTGATCCTCGCCGAAAAATGAAATTGTTAATAGCTCTTAAAATTTGATTTACCACATAGAGTACTCGGCGGTAAAAAAATAAAAAATAAATGAGATTGTCAACACGCAGTAGGGCAGCGTGTCATTAATATAAAGGTTAGAAGCCAATATGAAACTCAACTACAGGAATAAATTTTAACCTGCCTTTTTGTATCACATTTATGCCACACCACCATCTATCGAAGAAATGGGTTAACTATTGTGCTTCAGATTTAGTTAATAAGGTTAATATATTTTTGTATAATATATTTAATACGTTCTTTAATACTTTTGTTTACTGCGTTTTAGATATACATAATTATATCATTATTTTACATAATTTAACTATGATTTATGATATGATATTAGTTTAAAATGCACTTGATGACTCAAACAAAGCCACCGTTGAGCAAATTCGTACCTATACTTCCCTACCCATACTTCAGAATATTTATCATAACTTTTGATGGAATGAACTGATTTTAATGAAATAAAGACTAAATGTAACCCGAAGATACACTTTATAATTTCCTTAACAATTCTTATGATATAAATTAGTACTTTATACGTGATACGTTAACAAACAAACAGACAGACAGACAGACAGACAGACAGACAGAAAATTCTAAAAATGGTAGAAATGTATTTAATTACTTATTTTTAGTACCCCTCAATCACTTTTATTACAAAAATATAAAATGTACAGACATCTGCTATTTACAGTTTTATTATATGTATAGATAATGATAATAAGTTAACTTTACTACGCGTACTGGAGCAGTGAGTTTAACTAACTGCTCCATAAACACCCTGGACTTCTTAGAATTACGAGAAGGTATGTGTCTGTCTAGCAGTGGGACGAATTAAGGCTGTAATTTTTTTTATTACTTTTAGATAAATAATATTTATTCGATAAAGATTGTTTATTGCCGTTTTTAAATATATTCGCCTTCATGCAGCTTTAGAACATGCTAAATGTTCTAATGATGTATGTATAGTATATAGGTATATAAACATACGTAAAACATGAAGTAAAACTAAAGGGAAAGGTACGACATAACGGTCTAATCGGTAAAGAGCGATCTCATAACAATATATTATATTTAAATAAAACTAATTTTACGGATTTTATCGCGAATATTAACTTATTTTATATTCCCGACGTTTGACGTGTTAAAAAACACATAGGGTAAAACACCCAGTAGTCAGCCTTTTAGTGAGGACTAAATTTTGATTCAACTGTATTTTAAATATTAAACATTATGAATAAAAACAATCATCATCGCCAGTAAGGTTGTTTATTAAATTTACTAAAGAAATTAACAAAACATTATATTTGTAATAGAATTATATAAAAAATCAATATTAAACAAATTATGGCACTTTTCACTAGTAGTCAACCTCATTTCTCCATAAGTCAGCCATGTCTAACCCTGTAGTCAGCCTCTCATTTTTTCTTACAAATTTGGCATAGAAATTCTTTATTATGTATATTTCCAAACATCATCATCATCATCATTACAGCCCTTCACAGGTTCACTGCTGAACATAGGCCTTCCACAAGGAATGCTACAAAGCACGATCCCGAGCCACGTGTATCCATTGACTTCCTGCATGTCTTACCAAGTCGTCACTCCATCTAGTGGGGAGACGCACTACATTTCACCTGCCGGCACGAGGCTGCCACTCGAGAACCTTTTTAGCCATCGGTTGTCAGTTCTTCCAGCTATATGGCCGGCCCATTGCAACTCCAACTTACTAATACTTTGGGCTAAGTCGATTACTCTGGTTCTGCTGCGGAAATCCTCGTTTTTAAGTCTATCACGCAGAAAAACGCCGAGCATAGTCCTCTCCATAGCTCGCTGAGCGAATTTGAGCTTCCTCATACGGCCAGCAACTCACTGGACTCAGATCCATAGGTCATCACTGGCAACACGCACTGGTTGTACAATTTAGTTTTGAGGTTTTTAGGTATGTCTGACGAAAAGATGTGTCGTAATCTCCCGGATGCTGCTCAGCAGAGTTAAATCCGTCGATTGACCTCTCGGTCGAAGTTGAACTTCGATTTGTCGACGATATAGTCCTTAAGGCAGAATCGCTGGAGGACCGAAACGCTATGCTCAATGACCTCAATAGTGTCTCCCAACGACTAGGTCTTAAGATGAACATAGACAAAACAAAGATCATGTATAACGTCCATGTCACACATATGCCAGTAGTTGTTGGGAGCACTAAACTCGAAGTTGTTGACGAATATGTTTACATGGGACAAATAGTCCGACTAGGTAAGTTCAATTTTCATATATGTATGTCCCCAGCGAATTCAGTACATTTCAAATGTACCATGCAAGACAATTGTCACATCCAATATTCTTTAAGTCAATAATTTTTGTGACGCTAGTCAATTCCTCTTCACAGTTTTTGCATCATACTTTGTTTATTGTACATATAGTATTTTTCTTCCTACTTTTGCTATTTTTGGAATTCAACAACTTTTCCGCTTTCCTTTTTTGTAATTCTTCTTTCTTTTTTGAGTTTGTTCTTCCTTCTTTGTTTTAGCTTTAAATCTCTTAATTTTTTTAATCAATATATCGTTCTTTTTCTGTTCCTTCATTTCTTCTTTTTGTTTCTGAAATTGTCTCAAATTACATTTGTACGCGGCTGACTACTGGTAAAATACACTTTTCGCTTTATAAGAGTTAAACCCATAGTAATGAGCAAAATTGGTACTATTCGTTCTGTTAATTTCACCTGTATATAAGAAAATCACGAAAAAACCAGTAGGCAGTCACGAACCAGTAGGAACTACGAGATCTACCCTAAAAATTCGAAACCCACTAGTCGGCCACCTAAATTAGAACATATTAAATAAATAAAATGCGTATAATAGTTAATTTTTTCACAAAATAAACATTTTATTGTAACATAGTATAACAATCCACCACAAATTTCAACAAATACACACAAAAATTTACCGAAAACTCGAGCACGTTTCCTTGAGAAAAAAATTGCAACAGCGACGCATCTATTCATGTCTTTGGCAGCAGTCCAAATTAACGAGTGTAGCTCGTCAACTTGACATGATATTGGTTCGTAGGTGTGCGTATTAGTCAATAAGGAGACACAGATTCAATTAAACGTTATTTTAAAGGTGTAAATAAATTTCAACACTATTTATATGGAAATAATGTCTGTAAAGGCTGAGTACTGGTGCGGGGCTGACTACCGGGTGTTTTAACCTAGCTGATGTGAAGAATCGACGCTCCGGGAAGTCTGCAGTCTGTGAACACGTACAGGATCGCCCCCGTCACTACATTAGATTTGATAGACCACAAATCCTCGCTAAAGTACACCGATTCCTTCCAAGGATGTTTCACGAGGCTATTGAAATCAAAAAAATCCTAATTTCAATAGAGAAGATGGCTGGGTACTACCATCTGCCTGGGATCCCATAATTAATAAAATTAAATCCCAACCCAAGCATACAACTGCAAGACTTCATGATACTGTAAGTTCATACTGCGTAGATCGGAACAAAATTAATAATTTTTAATCTGGAGGTAGCCGTGGTTAACTATGACAGTGGGACGTCATACACCTCAGTCGCCCCCCGTGACCATGGGTGCTGAAAAGTGCTCGAAACGTCGGGAATATAAAATAAGTTAATATACGCGATAAAATCCGCAAAACTAGTTTTATTTAAATGAGTAGTGTTCGTGTAAATATAAGAAATCATTATAATATATTATATTATTATAAAAAATAATGCACCAATATATACAAAATAAATAAATATGATAGACATACATTAGACTAAATAAGCAAATATATGTTACAGTCAAAACTCATAACCGGTCAAAACCACTTTAGACTGTAATCAGGTAAAAGTAGTTTTGACTAAGGACTTTTGTCAATACCACTTTTAACTGATTTGTGCGGTCAAAAATAGTTTTCACTAAGGCCGTTAAACAAATCCACTTTTAACTGCAAAAATACTGGGTAATAGTGATTTTGACCAAATTACATCGGTTAAAAGTGGTTTTGACCAATAATGTTAGTCAAAACTTCTTTTAACTTATACTTTTTGCATTTCTGAAATTAAAGCGTTTAATTTCTTCAATAATATATTTTAATGTGTTGTACGCAAGGGCCAACCCAGCCGCATCTTAACCTACTTCTGTTACTGACATTGCGAGTTTTGACCGATAGTCTAAAGTTTAAATCAGATAACACCGATTTTGACTAAGAACGTTGGTTGAAACCACTTTTGACTACAACAATCGGTCAAAACTGTTTTTGTGTAAGGGCATCGGTCAAAACCATTTTTGCCTGATTTTTGCAGTCAAAAGAGGTATGAGGTTATGAGTTTTGACTGTGACATATACATAAAAAATACAGAAGGGAAACAAACATCTAAATGTTGCTAATAATGACCGATTATATGAGTGATAGAGGATAGGTATAAGTGTAGTTAGATATCATAGTGATAGGTAGTGATTTCTGACGTCGGTCGTACATTTATCCAGTGTTTTCGCATGAAGGATTTGCGGAGGCAGATCGTCCCATAAGCGAATGATCTTGACCGTGGAAGAATTCTTAAATAATTTAGTACGATAAGAATGTGGCATGAGTGTAAGTACTCCGGCTGACTATTTAAAAGTTTTTCTTCAGATAACTCGGTGTCATAGAATTTAACAAAAAACAGTATAGAAGAGAAATAGTGATAGACAAAACATTAGGCGAACAGAAGTAGGTAGAACTAATAAATAAGGGGTAAACACTTAAGCAAACTTCTAAGTACCTAGTAAAGCGTTGTATTACCTCTCCCTCTGAATCCGAATGAATTGATGTTGGAGGACTCCTAGGTCTTTCAGAAGGTCTTTTTGGTCTCTTCCGTCTTCTAGGAATTTCAACCGTTACGGTGTCCACGTCTTGTTCGGTATCACTCTCGGATGGTTTAGACTGTTCTCTTTCTAACCTTGCTCTAGATTTAGTCTTCTTTTTACCATTACCCTTATCGCCATCTTTACGTTTAGAATCATCCTTTGGGTCTTCGTTAGTATCCTTACCATTTTTAGTTTCTTTTAAATTATCATCTTGTTTAGAAATTCTTAAGTTACATCCCTTGCTTGTAGACGGCAAGTCTTTAAATTCCGTTTCTGAGGCTGTTACGTCATCTTTAAATCTGGAGCTTCCTCTTTCAATTTCTTCTATAGTTTTCCTGATAAACAGTGCATCTTCTTCAATACTTGGTTGTTGAACTATTCTTCTTCTGACTGACTTTTCGGTTATTTTGTTCTGGAAGATTATTAAGTGTTATCTTTGAAAGGATTTCGTTAATAAAATTACATAAAAATGAAATTAACCTACTACCTGTTCTCGAGGTGATTTCGATTTTGTAGACTGGCCTTTTGATTTCACACCGCGGGCTTCTGAAAGTAAGACTACTAAAATTATATTGCTTAATAGTGAAATGTGGCTGTGATTCAAGGACTGAGCGCCCGTTTCCATTGCCGTCGTCATTGTGGAGGTTCTTAGTAACCATTTTAAGTTATAATTTACGATGTGCTTGACAGTGAAGGAAAACATATTGAGAAAACTTCAATTTCTGAGAAATTAATAAAATATTTGAATAACTAAAATAATTATAAGGTCTGATAATGGCTGCCTCATTGGTCTAATAGTCGTAGGCACGACTGCTAATCATGAGTTTCCAGGTTCGAATCATGGGTCGGACACAAACCAGTTACTGGGTTTTCTGTTAAGACATTCTTAATAGAGTCAGAAAGTTGGCGGAGTTTTAGTTAAAGTTTTTTCAGAAAGCACGTAAAGCAGTTGGTGCTGCCTCCGATCTCTTTCCGGTTGTGTCGAATTGCCATTCCATTTGACTACGAGAATGAGTGAATAGAGAGGGTATCTGTACTTGCACACACACTTGTGCAATTTGATCTTGTCATGCACAGGTGGCTAGACTAGCCACCGTGAATAAAATTCGGTTTGGAGGACATTACTATTATTATCATTATAAGGTGTGCCAAACATATTCAGGTAGCCTGTTCGCTTAAATGCGGTCACCTCTGTGTCGTGTCAAAGGCGTCGCCGGGACATCAAGTGTCGCCGCCTGTGGCGTACACCCGCAGGAGAATTTGGCATAATAAAACATTATAAAGTTTTTTGCTACCTAACTTGTATTTATTATTTATATTCGTATTTTATAACAATAACCATAAGAGTAAACTGGTATTCTATTTCATTTTTAGAGTAGAAAAACATTTATTTAAGTAACACTGGGAAAAATAATAAAATAAAAGCAAAATTATAAGTGCGTCTCAGGGTGTACCGACACTATCTTAGTAAACAGATATAAGTTTTCCTTGCCTTAAAATTCTCTTAGGCGGAATTCTCACATATCTTTAAAAAATATTGTAAATTAAAATTACAAATTCTTTCACTAGTTTTTTCAAACGAGTATTCTAGACCAAATATTTGTATTTTAAAATCGAATTGAAGGTCAAGAATTTTCAAACGTCAAAAGTCAAAATTTAAGACGCACTTTGGAACTTCAAGCTTAGCTGGCTAATGCACAAAAACACTACGCAATTTTAAGATGTCGTTAAGTCTCGTGGTGTCACAGTCAGTTTGAAGTAAAGTGATACATAAGATATTTGGCCATAAGTATAAACTGCAATAATTATATACATCAGCGCTGATTTGCCACCTACGCTACCCACGCACCAACTCGGTGGTAAAGAAAACAACTTGAGAAAACCTGCACGTATAAGGAATAAAAAATAAAAATATTTGCAGACATATAAATACTGCTAACACGCACTTTTATTGGTTATCCTAGAAGTAAATTCTCACCAGAACCGTTCGGTTGCAAAACTGCAGTCCCAGTAACGGCGGTACTAGTTTCACAGAGTAGACGCGCCTCTGCTTGGCCGTATGTGTACACTGGCTTCTGAGGAGTGTGACGCGGGGAGACCGCCACAAGTGGCGCAGCGGTGCAGACTTCCTCCGCTTCCACTTCCACCAGCACTGCCCCTCGGGTGTTGTCCCCATCAACATCGTCAACGCCGTCAGGCTGAAAGTAAAGCGGTAGGTTTGTAAACTTGATTTTTACGAAACTGTTATAGTTAGTTCGCTAACACTGAGAATTAAGAATAACATTTTTTTTTAAATAGAATAAAGGTTACAAACGAGCATTCAGTCCACCTGATGGTAAGTGTATGCTTTGACTCATAGACATCTACATTATGCAGATGCGTTGTCAGTTGTCACTCCCTAACGACTAAGATGCAATGCCTTGTTTCTGCTATTTTACGCAGATATTCTGTGATACATAATAAAATATATCGAATTTGGAAAATTACAACTATATTAAACCTATATGCGAGGATGATATTTAAATCTACCGACCCAATGGTCAGAATACCCAGTTACTGCGTCGGAATTCCTGGGTTAGAATGGAGTTGACATTTTCTTATATATAATAGTAGGTTCTTATAATATATCAATTTATGATTTAAAGCCTAAAGAGTCGCTGCGACAAAAATTAACTTTGGCCTCTCAATACATTTTCATAAATGTATTGACACATGATTGAAAGCTGTTATTTAAAAAAAAAAGTCCCGCTGTGTTTCTTGCTGGTTCTTCCCAGGATAAAGGTTTTTTTTCGTACCAGTCTCTATATTGAATAAAAAAAAGTTTCTGTTTATATTTCTGGTGCGAGCATGCGGCTTACTGGGTCGTAAGTAGGTAACTATCGCTCATTGACAACTGTAAAACCAGAGGAATTTAAGGTGCGTTGCCAGTCATCGAAAAGAGTAGGCTCTTTTCTTGAAGGTCCTAAGTCATATAGGTTTGGAAAAATCAAAGAAAACTTCTGGAAAATTACACTCTGGTGGATTATTGTCAAGAAACAGATGCGCTGAGAATATTATAGCGATGTGCGATAGTAAAAAAATAGTGCTAAACCACAAATCGTTAGTTTTCGGGAGGGTTGTTTATAATCCCCATGTCCCGTCTTACTATGTCTCCTGGCCTACTACATACGATCTATCGCATTTGTTAGAATACAGGTGAAGACGAACATACGTGGTAGAGCAATGTTGCAGCTATATTAGTAGTTGTAGCACGAATGGATCGGCTCGACCGGGGAGGGACCACGCCCTCACAGAATACCAGCGTAAAATAGCAGCTTAACACTGCTGTGTTTCGTATGGTGAGTGTAGAGAACCGGATACCCTTTTGATTAGAAAAGAGGCATTCCATCTTAGTCTTCACGGGTGACGACGCATCTGCATTTTGATTCTTTATTAGAGATAGATGTAGATGTCTATAGGTCACAGCAACCACGTACCACCAGGTGAACTGTGTGCTCGTTTGTCACCCTATCCTATAAAAGAAATATATTGTTTACCATTTCATGCATTCCATTTCCATCTTTTGGTCTGATTGCAATCTGCAATCTACGTCATCTAGGTAAGAGAGAATAGGTATTGGTCCCTTGAATTTTAAATAAAAAAAAATGCCGCATCTGAATTTCTTTGTTTGTATTAATATGTTTTTTGTTTGTTTAAAATGTTTTTTTTTATAAACATCAAGTGATAAATGAACTTAAGTATACCTGATGTTAAGTACATCAGGTGGACTGTGTGCTCGTTTGTCACTCGATCCTATAAAAAAAAAGTAGCTTCTGCAGTTCATGCACACCTGGTAGACAACTTCAAACACTGAAGGCTATAGATTATTATTATTATTATTTAATTAGGCTTTCTATAGTCTTCAGACTGGAACACAACAGTGCACATATTGCTGCTTGGCGGCAAAAATATCGCTCTTATCCAGGTCTACACACGAATCAATCAATTGATGCTTTATACAGTACAAGCTGTAACACCCTATTTCATTCCCTTAGGGGTTGAATTTTATAAAATACTTTCTTAGTGTCTACGTAGAAGAAGGAGTATATTATATGCCAAATTTCAAGTCAATCGGGCGTATAGTGTTGGAGATCTGGTGATAAGTGAGTGAGTCAGTGGTATTTAGCTTATATATACGTATATATAGATTACTAGCTGTTCCTCGCGAATTCGTCCGCGTGTTAGGATTTTTATGTTTTTGCGCGGAACCCTAATTCTTTTTCTAAAATAAAAGTAGTCTAAGTTACTTCTTATGAAATCAGCTATCTGCCAGTGAAAGTCCCGTCAAAATCGGTCCTGCCGTTTCGGAGATTACCCGGAACAAACAGACAGACAGACAGACAGACAAAATTTTAAAAATTGTATTTTAGTTATAAGTACCGTATTTAATTTCATATGCATTTAGTAAAAAACTGTAATTTTGACATTACAAACAGACACATTTTATTTATTTGTATAGATTAAAGTAGAGAATAAAAGATTTCGAAACTGAGTATATAAATTAAGGTGACAATCGAGTCCATCTATAGTTAGAAGACGCTGTAGCACATAGACACCCACACACACACATTGCTTAATTTCCAGTAGAGTAGAGTAGAAAGTAGAGAGTAGAGTCTTCAGTCCCCGTCACAGCCATACGAAGCCACAATATAACTGCAGCGTTCCTCGATGAATATAATAGTATATTTTTTAAATCTAATTACCGAGTGTTCCCTATCGTATTCGGAGTCAAAATCATCTACGTCGTTAACGCTGAGACTGGAGCCGTGCCGCCGTCCAGTGCCAACAGATGGCGCTACGCTCCCGTCGGACTGTGTACGCGTGAGTGGCGCGGCTGGAGTCTTATTGCGTTCGCGCGCCGCACGCAGTAGTGCCGACGTGGACGCTTCAGGAGCAATGCCCCGGGATTTTTCCCATTCGTGCAGCTTGCGGGTGAACGATCGAGAAATGCCTGGAAAACAACAATTTTTAGTTAATTAATTTTTGAAAGAAAGATTGGTTTCATAATTTCCATAGTGACCAAGATCAGGCACGCCTTCTAGCTGTTTCGACTAAGGAATCTAGTCACTGGTTACACTCTTTACCATCAAGTAATCTCGGCACATTACTTGATGGCGAGATCTTATGCATCGCTGTAGGAATTCGACTAGGAGCGGCGATTTGTCAACCCCATCAATGCCCCTGTGGTAGTAGCGTGGACGAGTTTGGGCTACAGGGACTTTTAAGTAAGAAAAGTGCAAAAAAGAAAAGCACAGTTCTTTGACCGATGTTATTGTTATTTTAAGGACTCTTGTCTCTATAAATATTCCCTCGGTTTTAGAGCCTTGTGGAATATTTAGAGACGATGGCAAGAGACCCGACGTTATGACATTGGTTCCTTGGGAGAGAGGTAAAGCCCTAGTGTGGGATGCTACTTCGTAAACACTGGGCGCCTGTCGTCTCAGGGGTATCTCGTTTAGAGCCGGGGCGGCATCAGAGGCAGCTGAACTGGGTAAGTGGCGCAAATGTGAGTCTTTGAGAGATGACTACATATTTGTGTCATTTGCTGTAGAGACTATCGGTCTGTGGGGTCCACGTGCGGTAAACTTCCTAAAGGAACTATACTCGAGACTGGTCATTGCTGTTGGTGATAAGAGGGCTGGTTCTTTTCCCATTCAAAGGCTAAGTATAGCCATTCAGCGGGGAAACGCAGCCAGCGTTCTTGGCACGATACCATGGGGAGTAGGAATGTATGATAATTAAGTTATCAGTTTTAATTTTTTTTATTATAGTTTATTTTTTAATATTGTATATAATAAAATATTGTAAACCGCGAACGTTGTTCTCGAAAATCTAACCGTGATAATTTACTGCGTCAACTATACGCCCGCGCCCGCGGTTGCACTCGCTTGACCTTGACCTACGACCTTGAGTTTGTATCAGGGCTGTGGGGGTTTGCGGGGCAGAGGCAACGCGCAGATTGACCAAACCTGCGCTCTCTTTCCTTACTAAACACTAAAAGCGACTCGCTGTCATAGATGTTTCACGTTAAACCAAAGGCCACACAGCTTCACCCGATTTTTTTGTTTTAAATGCCGGTGTAGTAGCATATATGGAAGTATTACTTGTCATGTTTATTATCGATTACCTTGAAATTTGAAGAGTCCAGTAGAGGTTTGAACTAAAACTTCGTCTGGTTTCGCTTCTTCTTCCCAAGCTGGCACAGAGTTGGTTTCCTTCATGCGCTTCCATTCATCTGATGAAATTAAGCTATCATTACTGGGTGTAAATTGTACACTTTAATTATAGGCGGTAGCGCCACGCTGCAGCTATATTATGGTTGTAGAAAGAATGGGTCTGCCCGACCGGGGAGGAACCACGCTCTCACAGAATACCAGCGTGAAATAGCAGCTTAATGCTGCTGTGTTTCGTATGGTGAGTGTAGAGAACCGGAGAGCTTTCTCTCTGGAAACGAGGCATACGTAGTGACCACTGAGAACTAATATAGATATTAGTTCTCAGTGGTCACTACGTATCTGCTTTTGATTCTTAATCGTCGATTAATGTAGATGTCTATGGGACACAGCATCCATTTAACATCGGATGAACTGTGTGCTCGTTTGTCATTGTTATCTTATAAAAAATATTTACTTCTCTTTTATCGTATCTTTTATATTAATAATCGTACAAGATACATTATTGTAAGATATCACTTTAAGAAAAAGTTAACTTGCTTTGTTGCTGCTTTTCTGCCGACTTCCAAAAAGGAGACGGTACTCAATTTGACTGTATGTTTTTTTTATATGTGTGTTATCATAACTTTTTACTGGGTGAACCGATTTGGATGATTCTTTTTTTATTTGAAAGCTAGTACTTCTCGTGTGGTCAAGCTCAATTTGATCAAGCTCAGACCAATCGTTTTTGAGTTATTTCTTAATAACTTATATTGAAGTCGGCTGTACAAAATTTTAAATTTTAAATTATTACTACCCACCTATAATACTGATTTCTTTCAATCTTAAAAGGGGAGTTTCAATCCATGTAATTGTTTTTTTTTTTTATTGTAATTCTGTGTCGGATTTGGAACGAGAAAAATGTTTTGCGAAAGGGATCTAAACCTTCTGGGTTAATACTCGGTTAATATTCATGAGTTAGCATACATGTCTAGCTAACTCACGAGTATTATGTGATCAATGAAAGTTTTATTCTGTAGGGTATAATAAAAACACATGAATAAGGAACAGTACCCCATTTCTTGAGGAAGTCTTCGCTGAGATCCTGTCGCGCTGGTACCGGCGGCGGCTGCCTTACACCTTTCATTCGCTGCCACTCGGCGAGCTTCTTGCGGAAGTCCGCCGACAGCTGCTCTTCTGTAGCAACTGGCCGCGATGCTGGAGTGCCATTAGGTTATTACATGATGAGTATATTTTCAAATAATTTGATTTAAACATAATTATCATTTTTTAAGTATTATTATGTTTGACCTCGTTGGTTCAGTGGTACACGGTTGCAGATCATAAGGTACCGGGTTCTAATCCTGGATCGCGCCAAAATTAGATTGGCTTGGTAGTTTCTCAGTAGTAGCTGAAATCTGGAAATTGGCGGTGTTTCACCCCCCGTGCCTTTTAAACCATGTTAAGCCGTTGGTACTGCGCCTCATCTTTCTCCGGTCGTGTTAAATTACTGTAGTATAGCCCCCACGAGAATATATATTAGCGTTAAGGTAGAATAAGAATCATTTCATTGACATAGTTTCCATATCACATGGCGACCCTGCCAGGCGGTTCGCTGCTACATTGCACGCGCACCGCCGGGCCTACATAAAGGGAGAATTTTTTTACAAAATAAATAAATAATGTAAATCATCATGGATTGATCGTTTAAAAATAATTATATTACAACGGAATGGACGCAATACCAGATGTGACGAAAATTAAATGAATATGATTAAAAGAAGAGGCCACAGTAATAGTGTTGGCGCCGTAAATTATCACAATAAAAAGTACGTATAGTATCTGAAGACAACAGACAACAGCTACAAAGAGTGAGGAATATAATTTTTTTTATATAATGACAAAAAACCAAAATTATTCTAGAAACGACAGATTAATTTAAAAAGGAAAGAAGCTGTTTGTACTCTTGCAAGCTTCGTCCAGAACAAGAGCAAAGAAGAACTTAACTTCGCACTTGTGTGATTTTAATTCTATTTAAAACTTGATCAATTTTAGTTTGTTTGATTATTATTTTATTGCTTTATATTATTTCTATAACCGTGTCATGCAAAATGATTGAAATAATATAGTGGATTACATTTTTACGTAATTAAATTTATCATGTCAATAAATATATCATATGTTGTAGTTGTAACACATCAGTAATAGATTCCGTTGTTTTTTTTTTTCAGTAACAAATTTCATTTAAATATATACAATTTTGACAAAGGTTATAAACAATAATTAGCTATTGTTGTTTATAACCTTTGCCTAGCTAACAATAAATCTTAAAGTATTAGTAATTGTGTTAAGCCACTAAAAATGAAAATTGTTTTTTTTTTCATGTACAAATAAATTAATGTTTTGTTATATAAACTTGATAGAAGTTGTATCGCCTCATTTCATTGACATAGTTTCTATATCACACTACCATCTCATCGCACTACGAGAGTGAGAGAATAGATAGTGCGCACCTGTTCTTGGGCATACACTTGGGCTGTGCTGTGATCGAGATTCACTCTCTATTCCCTCTCTAGTCCGATGGGAAGGTAATCCTACACGACCGGAGAGAGATCAAGCGCAGAACCTGCGGCTTTGCGAGACACGGGGGTGAGACACCGCCAACTTCCTGACTCCGGGACACTGTTACTGAGGATTTATTGACAGAAAAAGTCTATAACTTATTATTTGGCCCAAACTGGGCTTTGAATGCAGGATCTTAAGATTAGCGACCACGTTTACGACAACTAGACCTACGAGGAAATCTACTACCACATGTTAATCATTTCACGAGACTAGCGATACGCTGCTGTGAACATAGATACTTCTATATTTACCGTGTAGTGGCGGTGTAAGAATATCCAGTGTTCCATAACGCCCGTGATTGTTGTTATAAGAGGCGACGCTGCAGCTTAATTAATATAGATGCAGCATGTATGAGTCTGCTAAATCGGGTAAGGACTATGCTCGCATAGAATACAAGCAGTGTTACCGGTACCGTTACAGCCTACTTCCTTCATTGTTGAACATGGATCTCCCCCATGGATTGCCTCATAGGATATTTGCCATAGTTGTAATGTTACTGTTGATTTGAAAATTTCCCCTTTCAGTGGATCATGTGTTCCTGGTAGATTATCTTCTATACATCCAACCATTACAGCCTATTAAAGTCCACTGCTGAACATAGGCCTCCCCCATAGATTGCCTCATAGGGAGGATATTTGCCACAGTTGTAATGTTACTGTTGTTTAAAAAATTTCACCTCTCAGTGGGCCATGTGCTCCTGGTAGATTATTTTCTATACATCCATCCATTACAGCCTATTAAAGTTCACTGCTAAACATATTACGTCATGGGGGAATTTTGCCATAGTTGCCACGCTTAGCAAGCGTCACTACGACTTGAATCTGGAACCACAAGTACCTAAGTTAACCAACCACTATTCCATAACAAGGATAAACAATAGGATAGTTATGAACTCACCAGCGTACATTTTGCCCCGTCTATCGGAGAATTCTCTGCGTAGTCTCGACTGTAGCGCGGCGTAGTCCCGTGCTATCTCCTCTCTAACCACACTCGCTTCACAGCCACTGCTTACGCCCTCTGTTTCTGGAAAGGATTTCATCATGAACTCTATTAAAAGATGTAAGGTATCAAAATACTATTAAAAGGTTCCCGGAGACGGGCAAAGAGTTTTTATCCAATAGGTAGATTTTACTTGAAATCAAATTATGGTGATTGCGTAAAAAAATGTTTAATAGATACATCGATCACTAATAAAAAACTAAGATACACAATCAGTGACAAAAAATGTCCGTACCGAATGAGCACCCACTCAAACATTTGGGTGCGCTTTTCATTTTGTACGTAGCTTTGTGAATACAACTTTAGGCAATGCACTTAAAGTTGAATTTACATTAATGTATATTTATATCTACTACAATTACGTTAAAATAATTGGCGACAGTTATTAGAGAACTTTTGCATGGGATTGTATATTTAGTTTTTATTAGTGATTGATGAATAGATACGAATTACAAAACTCAAACGGCATCCTAAGAGTTAGCATCCTTAGGACGCCGTTTAAGTTTAGACGGATAGACCTGGCTTTATAATTGTAAGACAGTTACTAGTACGGCTGCCGACGTTAACCTCTCAATGTAATTGATGGTACTTTTTATTTAAATAATCTAAGTCACGATGTAAAATTTGTGGAGTGAATAAACAAATATAATATGATATTATTATTAGTTAGGCGACAGTAGCCTAATAGTTAAGGTTGCGAAATACAGAAGGTCATGGGTTCTAAGCCACCATTCGGCTACTGTCGTGGGTCACTCCTAACAGAAGCTTTTTAAGATTTAACGAGATAGTAATGTTAGCGTTATTAGGATTTTAAACTAGTATTTTTATGTCACTTATTTAACAATGATTTAATTATGTAATAATTAAATTAATGTAAAAACAAGTAACTGAAATGCCGTGTAGTGGCGGTTAAGAATATCCACTACCCCATATCTTCCCGTGGGTGTCGTAAAAGGCGACAAAGGGAAACAGGCAGGAGATGGGCAACAGCATCTTCCTGATAACAGCAAAAATACAATAAAAAAGCTGCGGTTGCCAACCCGCTCGCCAAGCGTGGCAACTATGGCAAATACTCCCCAAATGGATAAAGTTACTAAGAGACGGCCCCCAGTCCACGGCGGCCCCTCTATTCTTGGCTACGGTGGCGACCATGGTAACGGCGGGGCAGGGGGTGTTTAAAATCTCTGGTGGAGGTTCGGTTGCCACCTACGACGACTCGACCTTGCAACATACAACGCACGCACCCTGAGGACTGACGAGAAGATTGTGGAGCTGGAAGAAGAGATAGACAGGTTACGCTGGCATAATATAGGATTATCTGAAGTCCAAAGAGAGGGGGAGGAAACGGTAATCCTCGAATCCGGCAACTTGCTCTATTACCGGGAGGGCGACAATCTGTCCCAAGGAGGTGTCGGATTTATCGTCCACAAGTCTCTCGTTAACAACGTTGTAAAGATTGAGAGTGTGTCGACGAGGGTTGCGTACCTTATACTCAGAATCACCAAACGGTATTCGCTAAAGGTCATACAGGTATACGCACCAACCTCGGCACACCCCGATGAGGAGGTGGAGGAAATGTATGAGGATATCTCTAGTGCCCTGAATTCCTCCAAAACCCAATATACGGTGTTAATGGGAGACTTCAATGCAAAACTAGGCACAAGAGAGAATGGTGAGCTGAAAGTAGGGAAATTTGGAATAGGGCAACGGAACCCAAGGGGCCAGCAGCTGGCCTACTTCATGGAGGAAGAGGGACTCTTTATGATGAACTCTTTCTTCCAGAAGCGGCCCCACAGGAAGTGGACTAGGTCGAGGCCCGACGGTTCGACAAAAAATGAGATTGACTTCATTATGACGACCAGACGACAACTGTTCAGTGATGTCTCAGTGATCGCGAGGGTGAAAAACGGCAGCAATCACCGAATGGTTAGAACACTGAACCTAAACGTTAAGTTGGAGAGGTCTCGTCTAATGAAGTCAACGATCCGTCCCCCTCGTGCTCTAATCCAAAGTCCCGAAACCTTTCAACTCGAGTTACAAAACCGTTTTCAGTGCCTAGAAGACTGCAATGAAGTGGACGATATGAATGACAAGCTCGTGGAAACTGTCCATGCGGTCGGAGCTAAGTTCTGCAAGACCTGCCGCAGAAGAACACAAAAACTCTCCGGTCACACTCTTAATCTCATGGCTGTTAAACGGGAGATGAAGCTACATTCTTCAACAGATTTGACAACATACAGGCAACTGAACAGACAAATCCCCAAATGCATGCGGCGGGACTCACGCAACTTCAATACAGCTCGTATTGAAGAAGCGATCGAGCGGAACCAAGGCTCCAAAGTCTTTGCCAGAGATCTGTCTGCCAGAAAGAGCCAACTGTTAAAGCTGAAGACAGAATGTGGCAGCATCGTTTCCGGGGCACCTGAGAATTTGAGTGAGATTGAGAGGTTCTATGGGCAGCTGTACACGTCATCGTTGGAGCCACACGCGAATGTGAGTAACGATCCAAGACCGAGTCTTATCCGACATTATTCCGATGATATCCCGGACGTCGGTCTGAGCGAGATTAGAATGGCTCTCCAGCACCTTAAAAACGGCAAGGCCCCAGGCGAGGATGGAATTACAGTGGAGTTTCTGAAAGTGGGTGGAAAACCGGTACTTGAAGTTCTTCAGAAGCTCTATAATTCCGTCCTCCATGGTGGCATTACACCGGAGGCGTGGAGCAGAAGTGCGGTGGTCTTGTTCTTCAAGAAAGGCGACAACGCTCTCTTGAAGAACTACAGACCGATTTCCCTTCTGAGCCGCGTCTACGTGCTGTTTTCGAGAGTCATTACGAATCGTCTCGCGCGCAGACTTGATGACTTCCAGCCTCCCGAACAAGCCGGTTTCCGAAAAGGCTTTAGCACCATAGACCACATACATACCCTTCGGCAAATTGTACAAAAGTCAGAGGAGTACAATTTGCCACTATGTCAGGCGTATGTGGACTATGAGAAAGCCTTTGATTCCGTCGAAATTTGGGCGGTGCTGCAGTCCCTTCAGCGGTGCCAAGTTGACTGTCGGTGTATCGAAGTGCTGAAGTGCCTGTACAGTAGGGCTACGATGGCTATCCGAGTACAAAACCAGAGTACGAAACCTATCCAATTGCAGAGAGGTGTAAGACAGGGTGACATCATATCCCCGAAACTCTTCACCGCTGCATTGGAAGACGTTTTCAAGCTTCTGGACTGGAAAGGATACGGTATCAGCATCAATGGCGAATACATCACTCACCTTCGATTTGCCGACGATATAGTCCTTATGGCAGAATCGCTGTAGGACCTAAGCACTATGCTCAAAGACCTCAATAGTGCTTCTCAACGGATAGGTCTTCAGATGAACATGGACAAAACAAAGATCTTGTTTAATTTCCATGTCAACCTATGCCGGTAGTTGTTGGGAGCACTAAGCTCGAAGTTGTTGACGAGTATGTTTACCTGGGACAAATAGTCCGACTAGGTAAGTCCAACTTCGACCGAGAGGTCAATCGACGGATTCAACTCGGTTGGTCAGCGTTCGGGAAATTACGGCACATCTTCTCGTCAGGTATACCTAAAAACTTGAAAACGAGACTGTACAACTAGTGCGTGTTGCCAGTGATGATATACGGAACTGAGACGTGGTCCTTCACTGCTGGCCGGAAGAGGAAGCTCAAGGTCGCTCAGCGAGCTATGGAGAGGGCTATGCTCGCAGTTTCTCTGCTTGATAAACTCAGAAATGAGGATATCCGCAGTAGAACCAGAGTGACCGACATAGTCCAACGGATTAGTAAGCTAAAGTGGTAATGGGCCGGCCATATAGCTCGAAGAACCGACAACCGATGGGGAAGAAAGGTTCTCAAGTGGCAGCCTCGTACCGGCAGGCGAAGTGTTGGGCGTCCCCCCACTAGATGGAGTGACGATCTGGTAAGATATGCAGGAAGTCGATGGATGCAGGTGGCTCGGGTTCTTGCTTTGTGGCATTCCTTGGGGGAGGCCTATGTTCAGCAGTGGACTTGTGAAGGGCTGTAATGATAATGATGAAGTAACTGAAAATAATTTTGTTTCCTAATCCGTTAGACATAGCCCAACGGATTAGTAACCTAACGTGCTAATGGGCCGGACATGTAGCTGGAAGAATCGACAACTGATGAGAAATAAAGGTTTTTTTTATAGGATAGGGTGACAAACGAGCACACAGTCCACCTGATAGTAAGTGGTTGCTGCGGCCCATAGACATCTACATCTATCCTCGTTCGCAAATCAAAATGCAGATGCGTTGTCACCCGTGAGGACTAAGATGGAATGCCTCTTTTCCAGTAAAAAGGGTCTCCGGTTCTCTACACTCACCATATAAACACAGCAGTGTTACGTTGACGAACCTCAATTTTTCCAAAAATTATAGGAGAGTAAGAAAACATTTATTATTCTCCGATTACTAGCTTTTTTCATCAAAAAAATAATCTTAGTTGTAGTTTTCCATTAAGTCTAATATATTTAATGTTCTGATGAAAAAAACTAGTAAAAGGGGAATAATAGATGTTTTCTTGCTCTCCTGTAATTTTTTGAAAGATTGAGGCTCGCCCCTTTGCGGCATCAACGATGAAATATGAACTGCTTGGACTTATACTTTACAGAAGGGTACGCCTTCGTATGGCTACTCCCCTCCGATTGACCGGAGGCCAGTGTTGCTGGTTTATAAATTAGGTGGCGTCTACTTGCACTTGCTACCTATAAATATTTAGCATATATGTTTAGTTTGTATCATAGAGTAATAACATATATGTGCTTCTACTTACTTTTTGGTTTGTATTTATGTATCTATGGTCGTAAATGTCTAATTGAAGCATCACTTAGACATTACAAAAAGAATAAAATGTAATAATAAATAGAAATCGAAAACTAACAATGGAGTTTTGAAATAATTTCAATCAGAATATGTTTATAGCAATAGAACCAATGTAAGGTAAGTAAGAAAAAGATGGATTGTGAATTCATAGTATCTATGTATGGGCCTGCAAGTTAACAGTCTATGATGCACTTGACAGTAAATGGTTTGTACAGTAAGATTGATATAACCTCATTAATGTCACCAATAAGCCTCTAAGCAATCCCATTCCATTTAATCCAAAGCCTCTAGGTGGTATTTTGCAGCACCAGTCCATATATGGCAATAATACTCAATGCACGAAATGTCGCCGCACCTTTGCAAGGACACCTAACTTCCACAGTTATTGGTATTACAACAGGGTTAGAACACGCTAAACAGAATTTTTAGGGAGGTAGTTAAGGAACATCCTTCCAATATGTATTGTATCATTTCAATTGATAAGATTCAATTTTCAGATGGAACGTACAACTCCAGCCAAATGTATGTGAACTTTGTCCTCTGCATATTGGTCGCTTGTATACTTTATACGTATGTAAGTATGTTTATCATTATGTCATCACGTTTTATGTCATATGTTATATATGATAGAGCCACGCTGCAGGCTTGTAGCATGAATTGGTTGTAGCAAGAATATGGCAAGCGGAGTAACATATTATGTCTCGTTCCTTTGACCCTGCCTACCGTCGCTGGCCTGGATATTACATCTGGTAATTACGTCAGCGTCTAGGTTTTCCTGGCCTTTCCTATTGTCACTTGCTACGACAACCACCGGAAGCAATGGAGCTTTTTAATAAAATAAGGACGATAAACGAGCACACAGTCTAACTGATGTCAAGTTAATTTTGTGGCACATAGACATCTACATCTGTTCTCAATTAAGAATCAAAATGCAGATGCGTTGTCACCCGTGAGAACTAAGTCGGATAGCTTGCTTTCCAATAAAAATGGTTGCCGTTTCTCTAAACTAACCATACGAAACACAGCAGCATTAAGCTGCTGTATCACGCTGGTGTTCTGTGAGGCAACCAATTCGTGCTACCACTATAATATGCTGCAGCATGGCTCTACCACGTGTTAGATAACATTAGCTCTTGCTAACCTCACCTGCCGAATGTCTCCTCTATGGGTAATCTATGCCTACGTCCAGTGGATTTTTGCTAGGCTGTAACAGTAACGCTAAGAAAGCTAGGAACCAAGCAAGATACGTAATGTGGTACAAATATTTTGTTTGGTTTCTCGATTTCCCTACAATGCGTTTCCATTCCACCTATCAAGTTACAAATAAAATTGTATGTTTCTTTGTTTATATCGAGTAGTGGCGGTGTAAGAATATCTACTATGGCGTGATCGCGGAGCAGGAAGAATTTCAAATTATTGCTATTCATACAAATGTGAACTTTAATAACTTGAGAATAAACTCGGTTTTCGAATCACAAATATTGTTTCAAAAGGTCCTAAAACTATTTTAGTCGCAATAGAAATAAAACTTTTTATGATGGGAATTAAGTTTAAAAATGCAAAGCAATATAAAAATATTCCTGGTCAGCGACCGTGCTTTACCCTATATCAACCCGTGGGTTGTGTGTTGAGTCGTAAGAAACGACAGAGGGAAACAAATCAGGAGAGAGGCAGCACGCCTTCTCAGAAACAACTAAAAAGAAAAAAATGTGGTAGCTAACCCGCTGACCATGCATGGTTACTATGTCAAATATGAGGTAATCTAGGAGCCTATGTTCAGCAGTGGACTTTAATAGGTTGTAACAGTAACGGCCGTTTGTTCGTCGGCTATGTGTTCCTATACCATTCTAATGATTACGATCTAACTTTAGTATGTTTATGTGCGCACACCCACGAACAAATAAAGCATTGCAATACATGCCGGGCCTTTCTAGTCTAAAATATAAAAATGGATGTTGGTATATCTATTGGGGATTAATAAATTCGACACCGTTTGACCGATCACCATGTGATAATTTTTTTGTCACAGAGAAGGTTTATGCTATTCAATTTGTTGTAAATCGTCACTAGATGGCGCTGCAGCACAATAACGTCTTACCTTTTGAACCGATCGCCGTGTAAATTGGTATATTATACCGTGAAAATTGGTACACCATACTATACCTACTAGTGAAACCTGGCAGGCCAGGTTTACGTGGTTTTTTACGTGGTAGAGCCATGCTGCAGCTATATTAGTGGTGTATTTGTGGCACGAATGGGTCGGCTCGACCGGGGAAGGACCACACTCTCACAGAATACCAGCGTCAAATGGCAGCTCAACGCTGCTGTGTTTCGTATGGTGAGTGTAGAGAACCGGAGACCCTTTTTACTGGAAACGAGGCATTCCATCTTGGTCCTCACAGGTGGCAACGCATCTGCATTTTGATTCGCAAACGAGGATAAATGTAGATGTCTATGGGCCACAGCAACCACTTACCATCAGGTGGACTGTGTGCTCGTTTGTCATCCTATACTAAAAAAAAAGGCCATATGCTAACTTCTAAGATAGTAATATGAACTAAGTGCACATTTAGTAATAATCGATCCTAATATATGGTACAGGTCGTAGTAATACCAGTCTTTCTAGACGTGAACACTGCATGCTGCATTTCTTACCAGATCAACCTTTTCAGATAGCTAAAAATATACTATAAAAAAACTAAAAAATAAATAAAAAGAATTTACAAAAATTTTACTACCTTAAAAAATTTTTTACCTAATGTTAAAAGAGTAGTGGAGAATATTTACTACTTTATTATCTTTATATATATAAAAAAATACGTGTCACGTTGTTTGTCCGCCATGGACTCCTAAACTACTGAACTGATTTCAATGAAATTTTGCACACTGTGTGCATTTTGGTCCAACTTGAGAAATAGGATAGTTTTTATCCCGATAAGTGACTTTTAATATTTTTTATTGCGAATTTAAGGATTATTCATAGGAAGGGTCGTCGGAAAGGGCAGAACAACGTCTGCCTGGCCTGCCAGTAATTATTTAATAGTGAAAAGTACCTGGGTATTGGGGAATTAAATCTTAGTACAGTTCTGAGTAGGGAAGGTGGTTATTATTTATTTATATTATTTATTTGTGGCAATACTAACAATAAGACTGCATCTACATATTTCAGAGGCGTCACGAGAGACAATTCACAGCCACCACCTCTGCCATACAAGAGATATGGTCGGGAAGCTGCCGACTTTCCTGTCGCAAGACCGGGAGAATCGATTCTCCAGATCGAGTGTACAACGACAAGTATGCTGATCAAGATGGAGCATCGAGTAGTCACGCTGAACCTAATAATAATTGCATTTGTGAATCGTGTCCTTGCGGCTTGCTGGAAAACGTAATACGGTGAATGGTTTATCATTAACATCTCGTATCTTCTTCATCCTTATATCAATAGTCCATTGCTGGCTTCTAACACAATGGGAAGAATCATACGTGGTAGAGCCACGCTGCAGCTATATTATGGTTATAGCACGAATGGGTCGGCTCGGCTCACTGAATACCAGCGTAAAACAGTAGCTTAATATTGCTGTGTTTTGTATGGTGAGTGTAGAGAACCGGAGGCACTTCTTACTGGAAACGAGGCATTCCATCTCACTCCTCAGCTCTGCTAGCATGGGCAGGAGATAATTTTATCCCCGGGGAAAGGAGAAAATGTTTATCCCCTCGCTTAGTTTTATCCATCCTTCGAGCATGGGCGCACCGGTGGATATAATATCCACATTAGATAAACTGGGAGATAGACTTAGACTTCGATAGATGTCTAGATAGATGCTACGGACGGGGATATATGTCTACTCGTTATGTCAAATGGGAATATACTTCTCCCCGTTGCCGTGCTTCTGCATAGGGACAAGATAATTTTATCTCTTATCAGTGGATATAATTGGGGGATACATTTTTTGTTTCCAGCCCATGCTAGCCGTGCAGGGGTGATAACGCATCTGCATTTTGATTCTTAATCGGGATTAAATGTAGATGTCTATGGGCCACAGCATCCAACCTACTATCAGGTTGACTGTGTTCTGGTTTATCATCTTTATTCTATGAAAAAAATGACATAATTAGAATTTTTACACGTTCGACTGTTTTATATCGCTGGTCTGTATATTTTAGATCTAGCATAGTTGCTAGCGTAATTACAAATCTTAAGTGACAAACAAACTTTCAGACCACCTGATTGTTAGTGGCTACTGTGGTCAATCGACTCCAGGCGCAAATTCAAACACGGAAGACTTCTGTACTGGCTCTTTGTACTCTGCAGACTAGTACGATCAGTTGCCGTGTGATGGCTGTATAAGAAGGCTCATCACTCCATTACGACCCAACGGTGACATCAGAGGCTTCTATGGAATATAACGGAAAATTCCGGTTATTCCGTTTATACACCCCAGGGTGGATACTCGGAAACGCATCTACTTGTCCACCTCGTTTGGGGTGGATGATCGGAATTAACTTTTGATTGTTCTTTCGACTTCTTACCCCAAGTACAGTTAAGATATTAACAATAAATATACTCATGCATTTTAATTTTTAATTTATTTTAATAAGTATAAACTTAAACAAAAATAATATTACGTATTGCATATAAATCAAATGTCCTAGTTTTAAATAATATTATTAGGTACTTTATAAATTCTGCAATATGTCCAGGTAACCATCAAAACTAATTTCATTATTGAATAGACGTAATTTTATATCCTGGATAAATTCGTATCTTTCAATGTATCTACGCTTGCAATAGTTTTTTGTGTTTATTTGCTACAACAGATGTGTTAGCGAAAATCTGGGCGTTTCTGCAAGCATTTCAAATCTCTGCTAAATTTGGATGTTTGTCTTGAACTTAATATAATTTTAATTGTTTTATGCTAAGATTCCAGTGAATTTATATTCTTGTGACGCTCTCCTTTTATTTCTGCTTTGATCTTTGAAATAAGAAATATGTATATATTTTGATAGGTGTGCTAATGTTTACTAAGTATCTTGGGCCAGTTTTTATCATGTTTCTGTAAGTTACAGTGCACAGCTGGCTGAGAAAATCGGAAGAAAAATGATATATGAATTCCGATTATCCACCCCGTCTAGAGTGGATAAATGAACACGCGTTTCCGGACTTCCAGCCTAGGGTGGCTGCTCCATGGTAGATAAACGGGATAACCGAAAAATTTTCGTGATTTTCATCATCAGTTCTACCGAACATCACATCTATCGAGAGGAAGCAGCGTCAAAAGTACAATACGCTTTGTTCTGCCAAGTGTGGCGAGTAAAGTAGATCCAAATCCTAAAGTTAAGAAGAAAAGAAGAAAAAAAAATGTGGGAGTGGCCCTTGTCCAGCAGTTGGTCTTTACGAACCGAAAAAGAAAAAGTTGAAGATACAAAGGACAGTTATTTTGCTATCATTATAGACACTATTTAGATGATTCCTACAACCGATGGGATGAAAAGAAGTTCTCAAACGAGCCATAAACCACCTCAGTAAAGATTGTTGGAGCAAAGAATTGTACAATTCATTTCTCCAATGCTTGATAGTGAACATCACAAGTCATCAAACTTCTAATAACTTTGAATTCCACAAGGAAACATATTTTTTCACATGTTTTTCATTCTCACAAACCAGCTCTTAAAATTTCAATTAACAACTCAGTGCTAGCGGCGTTCTTCTCCCTGCTTTAAACTCTCCCGGTAAATGAGAGAACCCAGCATTGCAAAATATAACTCTGTTGTTTTAGATGAAATTTTTTTACCGGATATGTATTTAAAACCTACTTGAACATCGTAACATCCTGACTTAGTTTTCTCACTTCTATCATATCCATATATCTGTGCATACATACGCGTCAATTTAGGTTATTCTTAATTTGGCCCATCTTTATTAAATCGTTAATTTGCTCGATACACTTTCACTCTGTCAATCACTTCTGCATGCATAAATTTGCATTTTCTCTCTTTGCAAGTAATTTTTTTCTGCGTATCCACCGAAGCATTCCTTTCTTATTACTTGTTAGATATTTTACCAACCGCCTTATTGTAATTATATATAACTCCCTCTTCGCTTGCTGAAACTTGTGACGTGTAGACAAACGTGTACTAATATCGATCTTTAAAATTACACAAATATTGTAGTAACTAGCTGACCCGGCGAACTCCGTACCGCAATGTTACCATCGTATAAATATTGATAAATATTTATACGATACGATACTATACGATACGATATAATATTTATACGATACTAACGTCACTCAATTGTTTTGCCTTCCCGGAACCTCTCCACTAACACATAAACTTTATGGTATGGTATTAAAGTTCAAATTGACTTTTAAGTATTATTACGAATCTTTTGTATGGGCATATAGTAAAGTGTTGTTTTTAGACTTTTTCAGGCAATTTTTTAAATTTTTTTCTCCGTAAGAACCATCTTTGTACTTCAAGGAATATTATAAAAAAAGAATTAGCAAAATCGGATCAGTTGCTCTCAAGACCTGCGCTTAGCAACACATTCAGCGATTCGTTTTTATATTATAAGATAACATTAAAACAATCGGTTTAATATACGTGACTTTCACTGAAAATACGCGAACTCTAGTCTCCTACAAATAACAATCCTCCGAGCCGGATTTGTACCAGCGACCTATCTGATAATCTTCTTGCAAACCTTACCATTCTCATGCTTCTTCTGTTACACCCAACTATCACTACTATTATTATTTATGCCACTAACACAGTATGGTAAATGAAACTAAATTTTACTGATTTTATCTCATTTATTATAACTTTATAATTCCCAAAGATTTGGGTGCTTTACACCACCCGTGGTCAGTCACGGGGGGGGGGGGGGGGGACTGAGGTGTTTAAAGTCCCGATGTCATAGTTAGCCCAGTTACCTTCAGTTTTTGAATATAAATTTTTGGTCCGATCTACGCAGAATGAGTTTACATTAAAACCAACGTCGGGAATTAAAAAGTTAAATTGAACGCGATAAAATCCGTAAAAATGAGTTACATTTAATGTGTAGACTTCGCGTAAATATAAGAAATCATTACAGTATGGTAAATTGTCATACGCGTCTTTTTAGACATAGATCCTGACTTCGCGCATCACAGTGAAGAGCCCCATTCCTTACCTACTTAAAGTAAAAGTTATAATTTTTTCAGGTCCTGTACTCCTGCCACGGAAATGTATACGAGCATCATGCGAACAATTTTCCAGGCGTATTACAATTTTATAAAAATGGCAAGTTTTTTTCTTGGTGTTTCGTTTTGTAGTATAATTAATTATTAATACATTATTAATAGAACAACGTTTGACCAGAATCCTATATGATGTTAAGTCTTAAGAGTCTTAGTCATGCTTGCTTAGAATTTTTTTTTAAATACACCCATTTCTTGTCATAGTATTCGAGTAATAAACGAGCACAGTCCACATTTATCGTCTATTTAGCTATATTATGGTTGCAGAACGAATGGGTCGACTCGATTGAGGAAGGACCACACACATAATACCAGCTTAAAATTGCAGTTTAATGCTGTTGTGTTTCGTATGATGAATATATAGTACCAAAGACCATTTTAACTGGTAACGAGATCGAGGACTTAATAGAAATCTTGGTTCTTGGGGGCAACAGTTGAAACAATTGAAACATAATCTACAGCTTATACATTTAACAATATATATGAACAAATTTCGGACATATTATCTATATACAAATAAATAAAATTGAAGTGTCTGTTTGTAATGTCAACATAACAGCTTTTTACTAAATGCATATGAAAGTATATACGGTACTTATAACAAAAATACAATTTTTAAACTTTTGTTCGTCTATCTGTATGTCTGTCTGTCTGTTTGTTCCGACTAATCTCCGAGACGGCTGTACCAATTTTGACGGGACTTTCACTGGCAGATAGCTGATGTCATAAGGAGTAACTTAGGCTACTTTTATTTCAGAAAAAGAATTAGGGTTCCGCGCAAAATAATTAAAACCCCAAATATCACGCGGTCGAAGTCGCGGGGAACAGCTAGTGTAAAATAGAAGCCTTTACAGATTTACATGTTTTTGCAAAAATTTTAAATATTTTTTTTGTCTTTAGCAATGTTAATACATAATTTACAGTGTATATAGCATAAGATACCTTTACCTACTTCGATATATAAGTACTGTATATTGATATTCCTGTTTAATGTATTGTGTATTGCTGTCTACCGTATATTGGGTATTAGTGTGATGAGAATGAAAGGAAGTGCGTGTTTTTGATTCTTTATCGAGCATAGACGAAAAATTTTGCGTTTTTCATCTATACAAATAAATAAAATCGAAGTGTCTGTTTGTAATATCAAAACAACAGCTCAGCATTTTCTCCAATTTATCTCCAAAATGGCTTGACCGATTTTGACGGGATTTTCACTGGCAGATATCTGATGTTATAAGGAGTCACTTAGGCTACTTTTATTTTAGATAAAGAATTAGGGTTACGCACAAAAAAATAAAATAAAATCCAATGGTAATAAATTATACCATGTTTTAATAAACTTCTATTTTTAGTGCACAGAACTTTACGATCAAGTTTTCAACTCTGAGCAGAATGAAGACTCGATCCGAACGTCCATTCAGGTAAAATGTTTTAGTCTGATGTTCTGCTAACCGACATATCCTGGGACGTGTAGGATTTATTAATTTTTTTCATCAAGAAGTTCACTGGTCACTAGATCCATGAGCAACTAATTGTGCTAATGTTCCTGGTCTAGATGTTTGGGAACTGCAAACAACATTTATCTGATATAACTTTAGCGGACTTGTGCTGCACCCGACTAATTGAGATGATTTTTTTTTACTAAATATTTTTGCACTGTCACGTGCAATCGTGAAATCGCACAAATAAAAAGAGTGTCCATTAATTGCGTGAGACGATTTTCACAATTTGTATACCCTCCCTCTCCCCCTGGTGAGAATTTGTGAGATATGTCCCGACCCCCTCACCCGCCTCGCTAAATCTCACGTGAGATTTTTGAAAATGCTTATTTTTAGTGTAAATACGTTAATCCGTACTTGATTGCGTTGGGTTGGTTAAAAAAGAAAACATAATTTGCTCAATTATTTTTAAATAATTTGTAGTGTTCTCATAACTAATATTATTGTGTAGGATTTAGCAATATTTTACTTAATTGAACCCAATTTCCTCGGAAGTTTACACTGTTTTTTGCGGAAATTAAAATCGTGATATTTGCCGAGATGTTTCCTCTCTCCCACGTGAGATTGGATGAGATTCGGATGGACGCCCCCCTCCCCTCTAATTAATGAACGCCCCCTAATTGGCGATGTAGTATTAGGTGATAAATCGCAATTGCTTAAATAAAATCTTTTTTATCTTCTCCTGATGATAAACTCATTGCATTTGAACGTTGTGAGGTTATGCACTGATGCAAGTAAATATACACAATCATTTGCTGTACATAACACATTAAAACATATCAAAATGCTCCAAATGCTGGAATGGAACGTTGCTTCACATTTACCCATTTGATTTATTCTAATACAGCCTATAAAAGTCCACTGCTGAACATAGGACTCACCCATAGATTGTCTAATAGCAGGGGTCGGCAACCTTTTGTGTCGGAAGAGTCAAAAATTACAATTTACAAAATTTCAAAGTTTTTAAAGAGCCACAATATTTTTTCTTGTCAACCGATTTCTTGCAAATCGATCAATTGCATTTCTAGAGATCCAGTATCAACTCCAAATGGCTCAGTGTGGATCGATTTTTAAAATAAATAAAAATAAACGTATGAAACTAAAGAGCCGCAGCTTCACATCCAAAGAGCCGCTGGTTGCCGACCCCTGGTCTAATAGGGATGAATTTGCCATTCTCGCTATGCGTGGCAGGTAGGTTGGCAACCGCAGTTTTTTATTATATTGAGTTGCTATCATAAAGATTCTGCAGCCCGTCTTCTGTTTTAGTTTCCCTCTGCCGCCTCTTACGACACCCACGGGACGATATGGGGCAGTGGCTATTCTTTCACAGCCGCTACACGGTTTGACTGAATTCGTTTGTTGTTTTAATATTGTCTTTTCTTTTTTCTCTCTTTCTATTTTTTTTGGAAACGTTACATCACACTAGGATTTTCTAATGTATTGTGGACGCAGTTTAAACATAAATTGCACAAGGAAAAACATTCCAACCCAAAGCCGTAAGAATTAGCAATACTTGTTGTGTGCGTGTTTCGAACACAACACAGTCACTGCGCCACGGAGCCGTCGTCTTATCTTTGTGGTATTAAGATTAATTTATATCACTTTAATGATTGTTCTAGTTAACCGCTACAAAGTATTTAAAGCCAACAACAAATTTCACTTTCGACGAATCAGCGAAAGTTAAAGTTAAAAGAGTAACACTGAATAAATTAGATGCACCACCGCGGAAGCACGATGAAGAAATTGTTTTCGGTACCGAGCCCGGAACAAGTGGGACCAATCAAAGTAACAATGAAGTGCAGAGTCCAGCGAAAGCGATCGTCCAGTTTGAAACAGTCGACGCAATCGTCGGAAGCGACTGTCCAGCGTGTGTGGAAAAGGGGGTGTCTTGTATCGGCAGGTGCACTGCCGATCGCAAAAATAAAGAATAAAGACCTTGAATAGATATATTGTTTTTTTAATATAAATAAAACTTCATTTTACGTGATAGAGCCACTATATGGTTGTGGCTTGAATGGATCGGCTCAAACGGGGTAACACTACGCTCTCACAGAAAACCAGCGTAAAATAGCAGCTTAATGCTGCTATTTTTCGTATGGTAAGGGTAGAAAACCAGAAAACTTTTTACTGGAAACGAGGCATTCCATCTTAGTCTTCAAGGGTGCATTTTGATTTTTAATTGAGGATAAATATAGATGTCTATGGGCCACAGAGTCCACTTACCATCAAGTGGACTGTGTGCTCGTTTCTCAATCTGATGCTATAAAAAAATAATGTTACTTCACAAAAAAAAATTACTTTCAGGCGTACTAAATACAAAATGATTTCTTGTGTTTTCGTGAACACTACACATTGAATGTAACTATTTTTACGGATTTAATTACGTTTTGGGGGAGGTGACCCATCAACCATTCCCAAGGCCATGGGCCATGAGAACTGTAAAGTACTTCAAACGTCGGGAATATAAAATAAAAAAATAATTAATAAAACGGGATAAAATTCGTAAAACTATAGTTTTATTCATTAAATACAAAATGTCGTTCGCGGCCAACTAACCATTGGTAGTTTGATAAAAGCCGTAAACAAACAAAAGGAAAGTTTTAATTGAAATTAGATGAATTAAATAGAGATGAATTATTTTTCAAATTGATTTTTTCCTTTTTACGTGATTCATCTCTACCTGCAAAAAAATAAATCGAAGGATACAATTTAAAAACTGCAACTAAAAAAAATATTTTTTGGATAGGGTAACAAGCGAGCAGGCAGTCCACCTGATGCTAAGTGGTTGCTGTGGCCCATAGACATCTACATCTATCTTCAATAAAGAATCTATTTTTTTAAATTAATTTAATTTTTATTTTCTATTTGATAGTGTTTGACGAGTAAATAATGAAAACATGTCGAGTCTGGCATCATGACAAAACTGTTTGCTATATCATCCTTAAAATATTTATTTTAACGAAAAATTATCTATATAATATATAAGAAAAAAATTAAACGTCTAATTTTTTGTTTGCTATTTCTCTTTTAAATAAAATTCGTCTGATACGTGTAAATATTTGACCAAAATCTCGCCAGACCAAGAATAAGAGGTTCAATTGCTGCTACTTGTTAAGTGCGAGTTTTTTTTTATTTTATCTTATAACTTTTTAATTTTTTAATAATTACTTAAGAGTTTCTAATGCTAGAGTAATACATTAATATTCTTACGACTCCGAATAATTAAGGGAGCAGAATATTTTTGGAAAAACTATATCTTTGTGAATAATGGTTGTATCCAAAATTAAAATAACATTTTAAAGATCTACATTTCTTAGTTTCGAACTATATTGGTAAATGTTATTATAAGCAACGTAAGAACAGCACAAGATCAAAACTTTTAGAATTTTATCTTTAAAAGGATTGACAGTTTTCTTTTTTTTAGATAACTAATGATTTACTCACTTAGCTTTTTGGTTCGAATTTTGTTTGCTACTTCTATAATCTCTACAAAATCCCAGAAAATATACAAAATTTTCCCTCCTCAGAATTCCAAAAAATTATTAAACAAAGTTTGCGTAAAAGCTGATATTATAATATTAAGGAATTCATGGATGATAATAACCCCTGGGAGTAAGGTGATCGCTGTCAAGCTATTTCTAATTTGTTTTGTGCTCCTAATTGTGTAACATAATATATGATTGTAAGCTGTTATTTAAAAAAGAGTCCAGCTGGGTTTCTTACTGGTTCCTCCCAGGACAGTGTTTTTTTTCCGAACCATTGGTACGAGTAAATTAAATAAAAGAGTGACTTTCAATAAGTATTATTTTAATCTATATTGAATTAAAAAAAAATGTGTTTCTGTTTTATGGGTGAATTAAAACTCTTTGTTAAAAAGATATACTCGTATCTTGTCAAAACCAAAGAGTATACATTCTACAGTCACCATAGATTACTGTATATATACTAGACAGTTACTACCGTTGTGTGTCATTTTGAGGTAACAGTTCAAAATTCTTGTGTATTTTTTATTATGTAAGAAATTTGTACATAAATATAGGAGTTCCTGTGGTACCAAAACAGTTTTCATAATGGAATACGATTGTTTAGTTTCGGCTCCCGGTAATTAATTTGTACTACATATCTATATACCTACTATATATACCTGTAGCTGGTGCGAAAGTAGCTGAATGAAAAAGTGGATGTTGTAGGAGTTTAGTTTTTTTTTTATAAAACTGAAATGACAAAAGAATCACCACCTGATGGTAAGTGGTTATTGCAGCGCATGGATATCTGCGACCATCTTTAAATAAAACGGACTAGAGATGCGCTGCCACATCTATCTCTATCTTGCGCTGGATCTCTATACTCTTAGACCAGAACACAGTAGTGCACGCACTGGTATTTGGCGGCAGAAATTGGTATTTTGTATGTGGTAGTGCCATGATGCGATTATATTAGTAGTATAGTTGTAGCACGAATGGGTCGGCTCGACCGGGAAGGACCACGCTCTCACAGAATACCAGCGTAAAATAGCAGGTTAACACTGCTGTGTTTCGTATGGTGAGTGTAGAGAACCGGAGACCCTTTTTGATGGAAATGAGGCATTCCATCTTAGTCCTCAAGGGTGACAACGAATCTACATTTTGATTTATAATAGAGGATAAATGTAGATGTCTATGGGTCACAGCAACCACTCACCATCAGGTGGACTGTGTATTCGCTTGTCACCCTTATCCCATAAAAAACCTACCCAGACGGACTCCCAGATAGAAAATTTAGGACTCCTTTTATGCTTGGGAAATTATTAGTTACTATTACACCTAGATATTATTAATGTCCTCCAGACTGAATTTTGGTTACGGCGGCCAGTCTCAACTGAGACTAGGTATCTGCGTAGAACTGTAGTATAGTGCCCATGCACAAGTGCACTCCCTATTTTATTACTCTCAACGGCCAACGACTTTACGTGCTTCTCGAGGCACGAGGGTGAAACACCGCCAACTTCCTTACTCCGAACTGCTACTGAGAATTTCTTTTCAGATATACCAAATCTGAAAAGAAATGCTCTGTGAATTCTGAATTAATCTGGTTTTGGCCCGACCCGGGATTCAAACCAGGGATCTCATGATCAACAATTACGTGTACGACCACTAGACCAACGAAGCAGGCAGCCAGCAGTATTATCTATTTATAGGTGTGGTACCTGGTCCAGGAGCTAAGCGCTCCCGTAAATTTTATGTTACATGAACAACCTAAACATGAAGACGATTCCCACTGGCACCAATGAAACTGTTAATTGCAGTTTTTTGTGCTGATTGAAGTACTCATTGGTGAAGGATTTTTTTTTATAGGTGAGGGGGCAAACTAGCATGCGGCTAACCTGATGGTAAGTGACTACCGCCGCCCATGAACAACTGCAACACCAGGGGAATTGCTGGTGCGTTGCCGGCCTTTTAAAAAGGCGTAGGCTCTTTTCTTGAAGGTCCCTAAGTGGTATCGGTCCGGAAAAATCGCTGGTAGTAAACGATTCCACAAGGAAGTTGTGCGAGGAAGAAAACATTTTCTAAATCGCACAGTCATTTTCTAATCGCACAATCATCGAGATGGTATGGATGGTATCACGAGTTTTGTCGTGATGTGCGATGGTGAAATTGAGCGGCGGGAATTAGTCCGAACAATTCCTCAGAGCACTCCCCGTGATAGATGCGATAAAATACGCAAAGAGATGCAACATCTCTTCGCAGCGTCAGTGAATCGAGCCGATCAGAAAGGACTCGATCGTCGACAATTCGAGCAGCTCTGCGCTGGATGCGGTCAAGTGGAAGGAGCTGGAATTGGGGTGCCCCAGCCCAGAGATGGGAACAGTATTCCATGTGAGGCCGATTCTGCGCTTTTTAAAGTTGCAGGCGGTGTGCTGGCATGAAATACTGTCCCGCTCTGCTGAGAACACCAAGCTTTTTAGAGGCCAATTTGGCCTTCTCTTCCAAGTAACCACGGGACTGCACGTCACTCAATATGTCGACGCCGAGGATTCCGATACTGGCTGAGGCAACAAGGGGAGCGCCTTGAAACTGAGGAGATACGACAAAGGGGTTCTTTTTAGCGGTAAACGCGCAAACTAGAATTAGGACTTTAGGACTGGAATTAGTAGCCCCCAATCCGAGAATTTGTTCAGAAAAGACTCGACTTCAGACGTCGTAGTCGTCGTCAAATTATCGTAAGGAAACATACAACGGAGAAACGAAATATTCCGAGGGTATGCGAAATTCGCCAACACGCAATGTAGCAGCTTGGGCAGACTTTTTTTTATAGAATAATAGAATACAATAGAATAGAATATTTTTTATTCAATATACATTACATGTGTAATTCTTATTGAAAGTCATTTTTTACTTTACCACTGGTTCGAAAAAAATCCCTCTGTCCTGGGAAGGACCAGCAAGGAACCCAGCGGGACTTTTTTTTGAAATAAATTTTACAATATAGATGATTACGAACTATTTACAAAATTTATTTTAGAAACTGCTTGGAAGCGACCACCTCATTCCCAGGGATTATTACCAGCCATGTAGTCATTTATACTATAATAACCCTTTTTATACAGTTTCAGCTTAATAAATCATTTAAACTTGGTAATAGAGAGAACCTGTACATTTTCTTCACTTCACAGGGTGACAAACGAGCACAGAGTCCACCTGAGAGTAAGTGGATGCTGTGGCTCATAAACATCTACACCTATCCTCGATTAAGAATTAAAATACAGATACGTTGTCACTCCTGGGGACATAAGATGGTTTGCGTCGTTTCCAGTAAAAAGAATCTCCGGTTCCCTTCACTCACCATACAAAACAGCGGCATTAAGCTGCTATTTTACGCTGGTATTCTAAGAGCGCGTGGTCCTTCCTCGTTCGAGCTGACCCATTCGTGCTACAACCATAGTATAGCTGCAGCATTGCTCTACT